GTATAATGAAGGAGTAAGTTGGATAATATGCCATTTTGAACAGTTTTCAGTTATATCACGGCGTGTCAGATTGATGAGAAAATTCTGAAATGATGCAGGTCTTAGGCGTTACCACGTTGGTGTAATTCACATGCAATTGCTATATATGGGTTTGAGAAAGCAAGAATGATAATCATGGCGTTCTGGGATTCGAACCCACAGTTACAGGGAATTGGAATCCTTAGATGACTGCCCAACACCCCCCTATCTCAAACATTTAAACAACGCCCCCACCAACCAATCCTCTAAGGGCAAACCAATCTGACACGCCGTAATGTAATTGAAACAAAGACCAGTGGGAAGGGGCAAAAACTAACGTTGTGCGCATGCATAACGGGGAATAAATTATTAGGTGTGTATTCATAGTCCTTTTGTCATTGGCTCTAACGATATTTTAAATGGCGAACCTCATTATTGCCTGGCTGCAGACCGGTCGCGTCATACCAAAAGACGCTAAAAGATGGTACTTGTCGTTACCCTGCCTGGCGCTCGGCTTTAAGGGACTAAAACAACGACTGGTCGGCTCGGAGTCACTGTACTGTGTCTTACTGGGGTATTCATGTTAAACTGCGGCATGGTATCTCAGTGTGCTAGCATTATAAAATCGGCATTAGTCCGGATAAGTACAAGCAGCTACACACACATACACACGTGCATGCACGTCGCTTTTTCAGTGCAATAATCTTGAGCGTGACGTTAAACCCAATTACACCCCTACTCACCTCATGTCTGCAGAACATTTAGCGTGAATACACGACTCGTTGACACATACCTCTACGTATCTTCTCTATAGATCCTGCGTTGAACCTGCAGCGTTCAAACTGCGATGATGACGGTGTGAAGATGTCTCCGTGAGGTACACACACCTATATAATCATCTACAGAATCCGAACTGAACTGTTGTAATTCTTTAGTCTACATGACACTACAGAAATGTGAGACATTAAAACTGCCCCCCCCCCCCCCCCCCACACACACACACACACACACACACACACTCAATCTCATTAAAATCAGATCTTAGATCTCGCTATCGCTAAACAAAGGTCTGAGGACATCACATTACGGGTCACGTCAGAACGACCTTTCATCCGACCAATCAATGCGTCGCTTACCAGTCGGAATGTGTTTTCTAATCATGCAACCTCGACAACGTTAAAACGGGGTATTCCGAACGACAGTGACGGCCCATGCGACTGATTCCGTCAAAATTATTGTCTGTCTCGCGCTTCCGTGGGATAAAGATTTGAACGGAGGAGGCGTTTCACAGCACGTGGGAAGCTCTGCCATACAATCGCAATCATATATTAGACATTCCGGAATGTTCGTTTGTTCATTTTTCAAATTTTTAATCGAGAACTGTGTCAACATATTTTTCAAGCGTAGTCTGAAATGGAAGTCGCCAGTTTGAAAGGAGTGCCGTAAAGCTCGAGAAAGCTGAATTCTCATTGGCTGATATCGACTTCTTGTTATTCGTTTCAGTGGTCGGTCAAAGTGACCCGTAATGGGATGACCTAAGATCTTTGTTTAGTGGCAGCGAGAACTTAGATCTGATTTTAATGAGATTGCCCCCACTGTGTTGCAAGACGGAAATATTTCTTAAACGTTTTTCTTTACTTATAAGCAGTAGAATATCTTAACTTGTGCGCGAATTAATTAGAGTTTCTATTAGTTTGAAAAATCAGTATATGCACTATCGTGACACTTGAATTCCAGTTTTCAGTTGGGTATACTTTATTATGATCTCGGATAATGTAATCCAACAACCGACCTTGGTCATGTAACTGTTATATGCATGTCTCAAATAGGACTATGATCAGAGATAACAGTCCTAATAATTAGATACTGTTGGATGTCATCATCTCTACAGTACGAAAGATAACACAAAATGTGTTCAACATTGATAGCATTACGGTTCAATGCATTGTTAGCTGATGCATACCAGATGGTTCATATGTGCTAATTATCCGTATTTAAAAATATACCTCTTTAGGGATTCCGGGTTAGAATTGGTCCCGAGCAATATAAATGGATGCCGGTCCTAAGAGGCGATTTAATGGATCAGACTCGGTGACTTGGTTGATTAAGTGTCATCAGTATCATACCTCGACATTGTAGGTGGCTGTTCTTAATATCAACCACTGGATTGTGTGGTTCACACTTGATTATTTACAGGCCGTCGTCACATATCATAGCTGGAATATTGCTGAGTCAGGCATTTTATATGGCAGTGTAATTTATTGTTTGTTGTAATTGTGTTTCATTGTTTCTGTTGAGATTCAATAAAAGTTCATAACATTGTATTTTAACAATAATTAGTTGTCAGGAATGTATCAGGAATGTATCTAATGTAAACATTAGTGCGGAAGTTACTACATTTTGATACGTTTGGAGTTAAGTGTAATCTGGCATTTTCTAGAATAGCTATAAACTAATCCAGCATGGCGTTGAACTTTCTAGAAGGTATTTAGACTATTAACTTGGCAAACGCATGCCTCATCTAGCAGTACATCAAGACCAGCGGTTTTGTGAAGATAATTATATTCACCCTGGATATCCAGCCCAGGCCGATTTTTTAAAGCTTGCCCGCCGTTGGTGCCATGCGAATATTATTATCACTGACTCTATTGCTATTACAAATGCTATTGAATTTTATACTGCCATTGTAACTGCCAGTGAATTTTGTACTGTCACTCATTTGTATTAATTTGTAGAACTAGTTAATTTTACTACACAATTGTTAATTGTATACCATTTCATTGTTATTTGATGGTTCCACACTGAATTCTTTTGCGAAGAGATTCCCGGGTTAATATGTTATTTCAATTTGGAAGTGGACACGTGACAGGTGTAAATAACAAACAAACAAACAAATCAAATAATGTAATCCGAATTCAAACGGTGTAATTTAGCATGCTGAATATATACATTTGTAGATTGTAGCGGATATACTATATTTAATGGATTAAGATTGAGGATAACTGTAATATATGTTTTATATATGTTATCATTATACCTTTCAATCCTGCTCCATCAGCGGCAGTGTGTGTGAGTGAGTGAGTTTGGTTTAACGCCGCTTTTAACAGTATTCCAGTTATATCACGGCGTGTCAGCTTAATGTGGGAGGAAAGCCCGAAGTGATGCAGGTCTCAGACGTTTACCACTTCGGTGAAACCCACAAGCACGCAACTCTGCACAGTGAATCGCGGCAGTGTGCCTGTACATCTACTGGGGTACCACAGGCTATCAGACACAGGATTCAACGGAATCGTTCTCATCCTTGTTACCCGATATTCACATATTTCAATCATTTGAAACGTTAATAAACAATTGACTCTCATCAAAATACCAACTTACCATGTTTAGCATAAAGTTCCATTTGCATTGATTTTGACGAGGGTTATGATTTTGATAGCGTAGAAATGTAACCTTTAATATAGGAATGTATAAGTGTTGATCTGGTGACATTACAAACAATGTCAAGATTGAGAGAGCTTCCCCGGCTTTCTGTACCATGTCCCCGTATTATAACATGTCGTGCTACAGAACCTGCTCACGGAAGAGCGACAAATATATGGGTACATTAGATGTTGGCGGGGTTTTCAAACCAAGTCACAAATCGTTTCCCACGCTACTGGTAAGTTGATCACTGCCGATTCACCAAATAATGGTACCTTCATAGCTCACAGGCGCTGAGTTTGGGGTTCAAGTAGGGGATGACAAATGGACTCCATCTGGTCCACTTCTTCTTGAAAGTTGAATTGACCGCTTCCTAATACCGATCGTTATTTGCACGGACTGTAATCTCATGTATGTTGTCCATGTCCAATATATGTTATCAGAACAATGACATGTATACGTAATATTATATGTAGTCTGGCATCATGGTCAATGTTATGAATCCCATTGGAATCGGTTGTGTATATGGTTCAGAAATCACAAGCACTCTGATACCTAGTTAATGTGACCCAGTAACGTTTGATATAATATCTTACAGTGTATTCACTCCTGTGATACTGATAGTGAACGATAACATCAGACATCAGTAGTTGACAGATAAAGAACTTCCCGCTGTGTCGGAGGATTGATATACCTGCATGTATCTGTAGTGTTAAGAGGAAAGAACAAGAAGGTCTACAGCTAGTCTTCATTTAGGCGGACAAACCTATAGTACATATCCGGACAACGGTCACATAGGAAAGAGACACAGTGTATACCTCTGCACATACGGTAAAGCACCATGTGGAACTGGAACTGCATGTTTATTGTTGTTTTGTCGTTTGTTTACTGGATTGAGGTAAGTAAATAGGTGGTGTTTTGACATTCAGGTTAATATCATGTTAAATGCTGCTCCTATTTTAATTTTTTATATATATTTGATTCGACTGTTGCTGTCTCATGTGCATCTCTCTCCCCGACAGCCCTGTACCAGCAGCGGCAATGTGTCTGTACATCTACTGGAGTACCACAGGTCATCAGACACAGGATGCAAGGGAGGCTTCTATTCATCTCATCCCTGTGATCTGATGTTCACCTTTTGTCTCAAGGGTTTGGCCAATAACGTGTAAGTCTTTTTATCTTATATCAAATGATGTCCAATGATGTGTAACTTCATGAAATACCAAACTTCAATCTGACAATAAACAACGTGACGTTAGGTTAACATTCTCTGTGTATTGGACCTATAGTTCTATATAAAACTAATACTGTATCATTGTACATGGGGTACATTAGTAATGTGACGTTCAATGTAATCTGGTGTTACAGTTTCAAAGCGCTGCTGACCAAGGTACATGTACTCATGTCAAAGTCAGATGAAGTCACATCTATCCTTGTGTCATTTCTGTTGAAACTACATATGGTCCTTGGATTTTATTCAATGCATAATACAAGAGTAGGAAGTGACGGTAATCAAATATTGCGTCACAGTGCTTACACAAAGTGAGTGAGTTAAAATTGAATGCCTCATAGGCATTATTTCAGCCATATACCGACGCCTACATAAAGACAACTTAAGGTCCCAGTACAAGTCGAATTTGGGACGAACGTATCTATTTCTCGTTTTGAGCCAACAATTACATGTATATATCTTATTGCTTCCTTCAATGTTATTTCCGATCACATTTTGTTCTTGTATGTATGAGGGTACATCGTTACTGTATCACAGTTCCTGCACAAAGATGAGTTACATGTACAAGGAAACAAGGGACGTCATATTTGGAACGAGCATTAATGGCGGGGTAGCCAATCCCGTTGTCAAGTCGTTCAAAACCTTACAGGTAATGACATTGTCGAGTTGCTGGACGCCAGTACTGAAAATATCATGACGTCTACATCTCCAGCAAGGACATTACCGTACTTTAGCACCGCTCAGCCACAATATTCAGCGTGTATGAACATAGTTTAACGTGTGAAGAATAAAACACGTCCAAGTTTTTTAATGACATTTAAAGCCCGCATGTGAAGGTTTTAAAACTCATATAAACACGAGGTAAAGTTTTCTTAAACTTCTAAAGCGACTTTTGCACTTTTAAATACTTTAAAATCATAAATATCTCTGTACACTTTACGTGAACGAAGAGGGTGGCCCGAATACAGTGCGAGATCTGCATGCAGTGGTCGATAGTTGAGTTTTTGTTCTCTGGACATGACTGGACTGTACCGGTGCTTTCTCGTGACAGCTACACGCGCTCAGCTTTTATGTAAGTCAGTGTGTATCTGTTTCAATCATGCAGAACCTATTGCACAATTTAATGTATTGTAGTTTGATATAATTTGGTAATATCGCAGACTGCCAAATATTATTTAAAACACTCCAAAGTATGTCCTTTCAGAAATTAAAGACCCCAGTTTTGAGCATCACCAGCGAATAAAATGTGTGTTTGTTGTTTAATGCCGCACTCAGCAATATCCCAGGTATAAGACAGCAGTTTGTAAATAATCGAGTCTGAACCAGACAATCCAGTGACTGACATCATGAGCATTGATACGATAGAATTCATCAAACAAGTCTGTGAGCCTGACTACCCGTTCCCGTTAGTTGCCTCTTACAACAAGCATAGTCGCCTTTTACAGCAAGCATGGGTAGATGAAGACCTATTCTAACGCGGATCTTCACGGGTAGAATTGAAATGTAATATAAGGGTTCGACAGAGAAAGATTTTAGAGAACAGACAATGACAGTATAACAACTTGTGATCAGTTATAAACTTGTCCGACATTCATAAAATCCCTTGGACTTTATGTGATAAACCGTCGGGATATTGTAAAAATCCCGCTTATGAAATGTAACCCGTTTGGAGAACAATGGTATTAATAAGCACATGAGTTTAATTAGCAGAAGGTAGAACGTAAGTAATGGGTAGAAGTATCACTGAAGAAATTTAGTAATCTTCCCAGGCTCCCGTGGAACTGGCGCTGGGGCAGAATCACGAATAAGGCTTGGTTTCGAATCTCTACATGGGAACAAGACGTGACGCCAATTCCTGGTGTAAATACCGTGAAATTGAAACGATTGTTTCTATATGAGTCGTAAAACACTATTGTCTCTCATTGAAACTTGCAACACGAGAAACACACTCAGGATAACTGAGTTGAAGCTTCATCTTATTTGAGCATCACTGAGCATCAAACATAATCCTTGTGTGTTCAGACAGGCGCTGTATTTGAGGCTAAAGTGGGTGATGAGTACTGGGGGTACACCACTTCCTCTAGATGAGATGACGACACCTCTACCGCCGTCTCACAATGGCACCAACATCACTCTCACTGACAAAGATGCAAGGTATGTCAATGCTTTGAATATTGTTGACAACGTGCGCGCTCTGTGTCATAATACAGGTCCCATCATACATCAGATTATACAATACTTCATTGTTGTCTTTAGTAATAGTAATATATACTGAACAACAAAAGTTCCTGTGACATTGAATAAGATTTGATGCAAAGTTATGTTTTTCACCCAAACTGAAACAATTTCGGTTTGCAAGAGATAAAAGACTCCTGTAAGTGTTCAAATGGTTTAATTTGCCATACTGACTTCAGAAAATGCGTGATTTCATAAAAAAAACATGAACATGCCAAAATGTCAATTTACAAATCAATATCGTGTGTGTCCACCTCTGGTTGCGATGCAAGCAACACATCTTCGTCTCATGGAATGGACCAGGCGTCGCACAAAGTCCTGTGGGATATCTATCCATATCTGCCGGAGCATGTTTCGAAGTTCCTGGAGTGTCTCTGGAACATGTGGTTGACGTCGAAGGCGCCGATCCATCTCATCCAACATGTGTTCGATTGGTGAGAGATCAGGGAGCGAGCCGGCCAGGGGATGACATTCACGTTGTTTTGTTGGAGAGATTCATGAACAAGTCGAGCAATATGAGGCCGGGCGTTGTCATGTTGAAAGGTAATGCCTGGGCCATGACGACGCAAAAACGGTAGAGCAACAGGGCTGATGATCTCGTCGCGGTAGCGCTGTCCATTGACATTTCCCTCTACCACTATCAAACCCTGTCTTGCTGTAATCCCACCCCATACCATAACGCTGCCGCCCCCGAACCGATCTTCTTCCATGACACAATGATTGACGTAACGTTCACCTCGACGTCGGTACACTCGAATCCGTCCATCGCTGTGGCTGAGGTGAAAACGAGACTCGTCAGTGAATAGAACTTGTCCCCACTGCATGTGCGTCCAGCGTAGACGCTGTCTGCACCACTGAAGACGTGCTTGACGGTGGTTTCCTGTCAAAATGGGACGTCTGGCGGGTCTTCTGGCGACAATCCCTGCACATCTGAGGCGGCGACGTACGGTTTGTGAAGATATTCGTCGAAGGCCAGGGCTTCTTGCAGACACTATTGTTCGAATCCAGTTGTCTTGTCGATTATGGGTTAGGCGTGGCCTGCCACTCCGAGGATGGTCTCTGACTGCATTCGTCTTTTGCCAACGTTGCCATAAACACCAAATGGTGTTTCTGTGGACGTTAAATTGTCTTGCAACATCACGTTGACTCGATCCTGTTTCAAGCATACCAATGGCTCGCAGACGCTCATTTTCGGACAGGTGTGGCTTTCGTAATGTTGAATAATTGCGAAATTTTGTTGTTTTTCTGAGTGGTTGTTGTCAGCACGATGCTTAACAATGCATATGGAATCCCGTTAACGCACATGCTTCGATACCCATTCTTGGGTAGTGAAATGCATGGGGCTTGCATAAAAGTCAACTTTTGCATGGAATGCATACTTTTCTGTAGCAGTTGCGTTTTTGTGTCTTGATTCCATACATTGACTACAATATTGAAAACCAAACTTTACTCGTTTGAACAGGAACTTTTGTTGTTGAGTACAAGCCTGACAATCTGACATTATAAATGTCTCAAGGGTTTCTCCAATAAAGTGTAGGTAGTTTTATGATTTTTGAAATTCAATCTGAAGATAAACTGCTGTGGAGCTCCATGTATCAATTGTCTATAATCAACGAAAGAAATTTAAACTTCCGGTTGATGCTTATTTACTATAGAAATTGACATTGTCGTACATGTATAATGATGTACTGTATTTGCAATTGAAATATAAGTCACATATAACCTTGTGTTTTATTTAACTGTTTAACAGTACATTACATCTTTCTTTTCATCACATGATGATGTTCCTGCATACTGTGAGAAGAGTATGATGGTGTCCCACTATGTTGTTATAGAAACTGCACAAAGATGAGCGACCAATACAAGGGCACACGGGACGTCAAATTTGGGTCTAGCATTAATGGCGGAATAGCCAATCCCATCGTCAAGCCGTTTACTTCGTTACAGGTACATTTAGCGATATTGTCGTCTGTTCACTTCCGTAGTTTAACAACAAAACTCATATATACTAATGTGTAATATACTATAAAGAAATATAGTATGTCTGAATCTGAGCACTAATGACAAGCAACAATATTCATCGTGTAGATCTACCTAACGTGTATCACGAATAAAGGTTTAATATAGTATTGAACGTTTCTTTTATATACACATGGTAGCACGAAATTATGTGAAGTTGTGTTGCACTGCCATGCTCGTATTACACCCGCGGTTGAATAGCCTAGTGGTTAAAGCTGCGGTTCGTCACTCGTAAGACAAGGTTCGATTCCCTGCGGTGTGATGCCATTTCCAGTGTCCCGCTGCCGTGATATGACAGGAATATAAGCGGACTAAAACACTACTATAAACCATGTATAAAGAAAAAGCATGACTGAGTTCAAACTACATCCTACGTGTGTATCAGTGAACCATGTAATCAAACATAATCCTTGTGTGTTCAGACAGGCGCTATGTTTGAGGCTAAAGTTGGTGATGATTACTGGCTGTCAAACACACCACTTCCTCTAGATGACATGACGACACCTCTACCGCCGTCTCACAATGGCGCCAACATCATTCTCACTGACAAAGATGCAAGGTGCGTCACTGCTTTGTTTATTGTTCATAGTTTGTATTTGCGTGACTCTATGTCCGACGCGATACCTACCTTACACGTACAGGTCCACCTAACACGGAAGTTAACAATAATGCTTTAGCCATTCATACAGTTGTCATCACTAATTTGCCCTTTACGTCCTTAGGAATCTGTTTCAGCAGATAATCGAGATTGAATATTGTCTGGCGTTGACGTTTTGAGTTATCGTGTATACTCGTGTGCTACTTCTACCATATACTTAAAATCGTATTAATACAGCGTGACCCCATATTGCAGATTAACTCTGACCATCACTGTGACCTGTGACCCCCACTACTATGGACCCAGGTGTTCTGTCCTGTGTGACCCAGGACCAGCAGATCACTACACGTGTGGCCCGGATGGGTCGAAAAGGTGCGTTAAAGGTAGTACATCATCAAAAAATTGGCGACAAATAAGGATTGCATTGCAGGCATATCTACCAAATACTAAGAAAACCCTCTCGACTACCATGTAATATGCCTCAGAGTTATTTCACTTTTGATCTATAACTACTGTGTCTATTTTACATTTATGTAATCAAGCTTCATGTATGTTTCCGGGGGGTGAGGTTAAATGGGGTTTAACGTCGCTTCCAAGATTATTACACTTATATAGCGACGTGCATGCACGTGTATGCGTGCGTGCGTGCGTGTGTGTGTGTGTGTGTGTGTGTGTGTGTGTGTTTGTACTTGTTCGGACTAATGCTGAATTTATAGTGCAAGGTCACCATGCCTCAGTTTAACATGAACACCCCACTCAGACAAAGTATACTGACTCCGAGCCGACCAGTCCTTGTTTTAGCCCTTTATGCCGAGCGCCAGACAGGGTAACAACAAGTACCATCGTTTAACGTCTTTTGGTATGACGCGGTCGGGGATTGAGCCCCCGACCTTCCGCTCTCCGGGCAGACGCTCTACCACTAGACCACGGAGGCGGTCGTATTTGTCTGGACTTGACAGGTATGTCTGTCAGAATATCAGGAATATGTCAGATGGAAGGAAGCTGTAAATGTCCACATGGTAATATGTGTGCAAACACTCCTTGTCATAACGCGACGTGCAACAACGGAGGAACGTGTGTAATTGCTGGGTACACCTTCAACTGTTCATGTCTCCCAGGGTACGGCGGTTTATATTGTGAGACAACACCATGCAGAGCCTCAACCTGTAAGAATAACGGAACGTGTCGCATTAACGGAACAGGACACCAATGTGAGTGTGCGCCTGGCTACAGCGGCATCTCGTGTGAGACCACCCCCTGCACCAGCAATCATTGTAAGAATCAAGGAACATGTCGTCCTACTGGGTCAACGTTCAACTGTTCCTGTCCATCTGGATTTAACGGCACACTTTGTCAGACCACCCCCTGTTCAAGCAATCCCTGTCAGAATCAAGGAACATGTCGTCCTACTGGGTCATCGTTCAGCTGTTCCTGTCCATCTGGATTTAACGGCACACTTTGTGAGACAACTCCCTGCGTCAGCAATCCTTGTCAGAATCAAGGAACATGTCGTCCTACTGGGTCAACATTCAACTGTTCCTGTCCATCTAGATTTAACGGCACACTTTGTCAGACCACCCCCTGTTCAAGCAATCCCTGTCAGAATCAAGGAACATGTCGTCCTACTGGGTCAACGTTCAACTGTTCCTGTCAATCTGGATTTAACGGCACACTTTGTCAGACCACCCCCTGCACAAGCAATCCCTGTCAGAATCAAGGAACCTGCCATGCCACCGGGTCAAATATCACATGTTCATGTCCTCCAGGATTTAGTGGTAAGTTCATATTGGAAACGTATAGCTTTGACTTTTCTTAAATTTCTCTTTCTGACCGCACATTCATAATATCTGTACATGCCAGAAATGGTGAAAAATTGTCAGCCAACATTTACACAAGTTAAGTCCCTATTGATGCCTAACCTTGAAACTAAATGTGTTGATGCATAAGCATACATGGATATCGCACACATTCTTGGACATACCCTGAGACAACATTCTGCTCTCTCCAACAAACATGATAAAATTGTTGATACAATCCCTTTAATTCCCTCCTATATATATCTGTGTCATGTTAAATAACCACCATGTATTTGTTTACTTATTGGGTAACGTACATGTTCATTCATTTGAACACCCTTGTCTACTTTCTGTTGGTTCCTGACAGTATCGATCATGTTCTATTCAGGGGTGCACTGTGATAGAAGGGTTGTCATGTCTACACTACAGATGATGTTTACAAAGCCTATACCTGATGTTAAAACTCAAAGTACAAGAACCTCTCCAACCACAGGTATACAAACCCTATTACTCATCTTCAAAGACACCTTATTGTCAGTGGATGCATGTACGTGTATGCGATATATATTACATTAGTTGGACCTAGCTAAAATATGATCCGGAAATGAGCAAGTGATAAAAACTCTGCAGTGAGTCATGAAAAAATCATAGTTATCTGGCACTTTTATTTTTCAATATGAATCTGAGAAACAAAATTATACCGATAAGCTCTGCAACCTTTCTATTAATAAGCCACTAAAACCCTCTCTATAATCATAAGACATGTGTACTAAAAGCAGAGTCCACTGTAAGATTCCGACGATATCACAAGCATGTGTTTGTGTATCACTATCAAATAGTGATGACACCAGGTGTTCGTTACTGCAGGAAGTACATGAAGGTTATCAGCGTGACAAAAATACAGGCCGTGTTTCCTCTTCTGGTGTCCCCAGGTTTTGAAAAGTGTCTTTGCAAGAATGGCGGCTCCTGTACAAAGGAAGAGAACGGCGTTGGCTGTGATTGTACCTCAGGGTTCACTGGGCGGTATTGTGAGACAGTGATAGGGCTTTGTTCAGATAGTCTTTGTAAGAATGGAGGCACGTGTGTTGAGAAGCGAGGAAACCGCACCTGCCTCTGTCCACGTGGTTTCACAGGTGACACGTGTGAACACGTCGACCATTGTATCGTCAATCGTTGTCATCAAGGAACATGCGTCAACAGCGGACACCATTTTGTGTGTCGATGTCACCCTGACTATTCTGGTCATCGATGTGAAATTCACAACCCCTGTCATCAAAACGGCCCTTGTTTGAATGGAGGGATATGTTTAGTGCAGGCACAGAAAGCCACGTGTCACTGCCGAATTGGATTTACTGGCTCTACATGCGAAACAACGGTCAAAGGTAGGCAGTGGATTATTTCCAGTGTATCCATGAAACATGTCAGTTGCATGTTTCATATCATTAATATTTTCTGTTCCAGAATATTTGATAAAACAAAATTGAAATATATGTACACAAAAAATCAAATATTTTACTTCTTTTACACGACTGTCAATAAAAATAAAGCCGTGTCGTGGTTTCTTGACAATCTTCATCAGACATCTATGTGGTTCTTATAATTTTGATAATTTGAATTACTACCTCATTAGGTTGTCCCGACAACATCAGTAACTGTGAGTTTGCGGAGTGTCCAGATCTTAACCCTGCTCGATGTGTGCGTTGTCGGGCTGGCTACACGCAGGTTGAGGGAAGATGCCAAAGTAAGTTGATTATCAGAAATACTTACTGATATTAGCAAAAAGACACATTTACGTGACACATATTAAAGGAGTAAAACCATATTTTAAGTCATATAGAAATATACTGAAAGATATTTACCATGTCGAATTTTCCTTGCAAAAAGAAACGGAACAATATTTCTTTCACTACAAAATGGAGTTTAATGGAGAAAACCATAATGCAGACGGACTAGCTTCCTTAATCTATATCTCTTACAACTATTACAGTGTATGAAAGGTGAACCTACTGTCATATCTCTTCCTGTACATTTCTCTCATTGTAATCAACATGTAATTGGATGCCTCTTATGATACGATGACTATGTACCCTCTGGAATGAATAAAAACAATATAAAAAAACAACAACTAATTATCAGAAATTTTTGTACAGTAGAAGGTGTCATCAGATGAATGTTCGGATCGTGCAGAAGTTGAAAAAGTGTGGCTCTGCGAAACCAGACAATCACTTTTGTCAGTATATGCTTGTCATTGGATAGAATCCAAGATTCATCTTGAAAATGATTCATGGTGTGTCAGCACCATACCTGTTCTCATGAAAGACAATCATCACTTTCGGCTTCCCCTCAAATTTACCTTGCACTCTTTTATCTAACTTGAGCCCATTGAACCTCAGCTCATTCATTGAATTGCACTTGTGATAATGTGTGTTGTATCTGCTATTTCAGCCTGTCCACCCCACACCCCCATCCTGCACTGCGAGGAAGAGGCATCAGTCGGGTGTCTCTTCTGGTGGTGCAACAGGTGCGAGCAGGGGTTTTACCGTGAAGCCACTGCGTGTGAAGGTAATGGTTCCTTATAGACCTCTTCAGTCAAGGTTTCACCATCAAAGGCATGGCTAAGTCATTCCAGATATTTTATAGTAGACAATCAGAGAATTGTACTCAACATGACACGTCACTTGTCAATACGATGCAGGCTGATATCCAATTTAAATTTAAATGACGTTTTCACACCTCCTTACTCCTTACTTAATTAAAACTGTGAGAGGAGGGTGCTGCAGGTAGAGCAGGATATGCTTACCTCTTTCGTGAACAACCGGTGTCAGCACTGATTTTTAGAGATCCATTCATATTATTTTCATCACTATATTGCCTTTCACGCCATATAAAATCTGTTTCGGCAGATATTCGAGACTGGCTATTCTGTCGATGACGTTTTGGATTTCCCTGTTAACCTTTTCTAAAACGTCACATAACGTCAATGATATATTTTCAAATAATTCATGCTTATTTTAGTTAAGAAAATCAATATCTAACAGTATTTTTTTACATCCATCTTATATCATTCTTTGCATCCAATACAGTCTGTCCCCGTCTCCACGCCGGATGTCGGGATCACGTCTGCTCCTCCACTGATGACGTCAGATGTGTCAGTTGTCATCCGGGCTTCTTCCTAGCTGGGAGCACGTGTAAGGGTAAGTAACTGACCTTTAAGGTTTTTTATTATGTTTACCATGTAATTTTACTCATTAAATATACGTTTCTTTAATACCTAATTGCTTTCTTACATGCTCCTCCAGAATGCCCTTCCCCAAACCCAACATGCGACGAAGTCATCTGTAGTGATGCCAATGACGTGACATGCACCAAGTGTAAAGATGGATACTTAGAAGTAGACGGCCAATGCATTCGTGAGTCATTACTTACGTTGAGAACACCTAGTGTCATCACTGATTTTCAGTGATTCATTCATATAATTTTCATCGCTATATTGCCTTTTACGCCCAATGCAATCTGTTTCGGCAGATAAATGGAGTTGATGTTTCGAACTGTAATGTGTTAGGTTTATGGGAAGTAAAGTTCGTATTGTTACCATCGTTAATATTTTTTTTACATGTAACAACTATATAAACATTTCATATAATAGTTGATAATACCGGCTTGCATAAGTTCCCATGGAGCTGATTTCCCATTCTGGACAGTATAATTCTCATCCAGTTCCCTTTTAACGTTTTTCGGATGCTTATCCCTGGCATTATGTCCCCTGTCAGCGTGTCCGTCCACGATCCTGATCCCTGACTGTGTGGACGTAGGCAGAGACGGCTGCTTCAAACACTGGTGTAGGAAGTGTGCTCCTGGCTTTTTCATCAGCGGAACAGCTTGTGATGGTAAATATTCTTATCGTTTTGAACCGTAATTGGTGTTGTATCACTGCTAAGAATACTGAATGTACAGTATTACGTATCTAGTGGTTATTATTGCGTAGATTGAAGTTATTTGACTTCTGCTCAACTACTGTAAACTACGTTTATAACGAACACGCTTATAACGAACTGGCCGATATAACGAACTTATATTTTAGTCTCTGCCATTTGTTGTAAATATGTTGTATATATGCTTATAACGAACTACGGATATTACGAACTAAAATTAGTGGTCCCTTTGAGTTCGTTATAACCGTAGTTTACTGTATAAGCATCATCTACGAAGAAAAAAACCCGAATGGGTTACTTCCAGTATTGTGCATGAAGCCTGGTGTTATCACTTATTTTCCGTGACCCATTCATAAGCTGTTCACAACTATTTCGCCTTTTACGCCAAATAGATACTCGAGACTAGTGTCGACGTTTTGTAAGTTTCACTTGGTTGTCCAGTTCTCGTTTACAGTCATGATTGTCTGCGAATCAGCATAATTTTTAGTTAAAAACTAATAACTGCCGTCATTATATCAAAACATGCATGATTTGTGAATGAAACATACATACAAAGCTAAATGTAAGCCACTAGTGTCCATTGATGTTGAGGGTATCAGGGCTAAGCATTTGCTTGTTTCATAATTTACTTACTACTAAAATCAGTGTCACACAGACTGCGACTTCCTATTTAATTCCAACTTGGAGTTTGTAATTGTGTCCACCCCATAGTTCAGTGCGTCCCCTCCCCTACGTGTGTTGACAAATGGCTGGGTGCAATTCCATCCTTTATTTCATTTTATCCCTTAACCAACGTTGGTTGTCAAATAGCTGAGTGCAATTCCATCCTTTATTTCATTTTATCCCTTAACCAACGTGGGTTGTCAAATAGCTGAGTGCAATTCCATCCTATATTTCAGTTTGTCCCTCAACCAACGTTGGTTGTCAAATAGCTGAGTGCAATTCCATCCTTTATTTCATTTTATCCCTTAACCAACGTGGGTTGTCAAATGGCTGAGTGCAATTCCATCCTTTATTTCAGTTTGTCCCTCAACCAACGTTGGTTGTCAAATAGCTGAGTGCAATTCATCCTTTATTTCATTTTATCCCTTAACCAACGTGGGTTGTCAAATGGCTGAGTGCAATTCCATCCTTTATTTCAGTTTGTCCCTCAACCAACGTTGGTTGTCAAATAGCTGAGTGCAATTCCATCCTATATTTTAGTTTGTCCCTTAACCAACGTGGGTTGTCAAATAGCTGAGTGCAATTCCATCCTTTATTTCATTTTATCCCTTAACCAACGCGGGTTGTCAAATAGCTGAGTGCAATTCCATCCTATATTTCAGTTTGCCCCTTAACCAACGTTGGTTGTCAAATAGCTGAGTGCAATTCCATCCTATATTTCAGTTTGCCCTTAACCAACGTCGGTTGTCAAATAGCTGAGTGCAATTCCATCCTTTATTTCACTTTGCCCCTTAATTAACCAACGTTGGTTGTCAAATGGCTGAGTGAAATTCCATCCTATATTTCAGTTTGTCCCTTAACCAACGCGGGTTGTCAAATAGCTGTGTGCAATTCCATCCTATATTTCAGTTTGCCCCTTAACCAACGTTGGTTGTCAAATAGCTGAGTGCAATTCCATCCTATATTTCAGTTTGCCCTTAACCAACGTCGGTTGTCAAATAGCTGAGTGAAATTCCATCCTTTATTTCACTTTGCCCCTTAATTAACCAACGTTGGTTGTCAAATGGCTGAGTGAAATTCCATCCTATATTTCAGTTTGCGCCTTAACCAACGCGGGTTGTCAAATGGCTGAGTGTAATTCCACCGAAGACTCGCGCTGTGTCCGATGTTTCCATGGTTACGAATTACAAGGTGGAACCTGCAGTAAGTAGATAGTTTTTCAATTTTTCATTTTTCTGTTTCGTGCGACTTTCAACAATAATTGTATTTAATTGATCCCACAATGCATTTCAGCACATTCCCATGACAACGGACCGAGTACTATTTCCAGCCAGTGTGTGGATCATCTAAACGCCGACTGTGCCTCCCTACAGTCATCTCTCAATGTCTGCTCAGAACCGAGTACGGCCTGTCGCTCCTGCCCTCGGTACTGCAACATGTGTCACACGTGCACCCAGGGAGTACCTATAATTGGATAATGAAGCAATGTTAACTGTGCGAAAAGAATCATTTAAGAGTGCTTATATAATATATTATATATGGTATACATAATAAAACCGTAAAAAACATCAACATCGTTGTAATTACATATGGTATAGACGTTTATATACTGGCAGAAAAAAATGATCCTGTGCACCATAGACTGCATTTAGGAATATAAAAAATAACAAACAGAGCGCTTCATGTTCATGAAATCATTACTGCGTGAAAGAAAAAGGTTTCACTTACTTCAGTGGAGGTAACATTTGCGTGAAACAACATGCTTTCATGAACATCATACGCGTCAGCATAACGTAATAAAAGAAAGAAAATAAAGAAATATCTGCTATATTTTGCGATTCCGAGCATGTGTTTATGAAACCCGATGAAATAGTGATGATACTAGGTGTTTGGGATAACACTCTTTGAGTTATAATAAAGAGTTTTCTGAAGTTGAGAAAAGTGATATTTTCATTGCAGTGAACATAACACTTGATATTTCACTGCAGTGAACATAACACTTTGACGGAACTGTTGTCATACAAGAGGTACCTACCCTTAAATTCTCTCCCTTTATCGTAAGTGACAAGCACATACACAAACTGTTGACGTTCTTTTCACGTTAGTTCCACATTGACAGGGCAAAATAATGACAGATGGTCATTAATGAGGTTAATATTACGTTTTGCCTTTTATTATTTTCTCGAAAATGTTTCGTTATAAACTGAAGATTTCTCATTTAACTCGTCAAGCGAGACTTCGTTTCGCAAAGCGCCATTTTTGTTACTTGACCAGCGTGTATTCTTTCGCTTCCAACAGCGGTCTCCTAGTTTTCAAGAATATTTTTTGTGATAGTCTGTTTTGTATAAAATCATATCGAAATTTGTGATATGGAATTTTCGTGACCCTAAATAATTTTTTATACTTTTGATTTTAAACATATTTTTAAAGATTTTGCAAACACGAAACAACTTTTTAAGTCGCAAATACAAGGGGTGGTGAACCGTCCCTGTGTGTTAAGTAGGGAGAATTTACGTTTCAAGGTTTTACATTTGTAATGAAATAATTAAAATTTCCGTTAGTAAACTACACAAAAAGTATATAATAAATAGGTTATTTCATGTGTCTCGTGAAATATCATGTTTCTCTCATCGAATGACGGTGTGTGTGTGTGTGTGTGTGTGTGTGTGTGTGTGTGTGTGTGTGTGTGTGAAATATCTCTTTTCCGCCCCTTCACGAGATGAGAGAAACATGATATTTCACGAGATCTCTATATCTTCATAGAAAAAGCATGGTCGATTGTACCTCAAATGTGAAAGTTAGACCCCAAAGGCTGGAGCTGAAAGTTGACGATTAGGAGTTACACCAGTTTTCCCCAGTTCGATACAGATACAATCTCTAAATTTAAATTTAGGCTGGTTTGCCGGGCCAATACACTTATGTACAGACATCAACATCATCTAAACTCAATGTCAATGTACACTAGCCATTTGGCTGTTTGGAAGATTACAGAGATGGACGTTGATGTTCAAAATGCCTGTTGCCACGACAGCAGGTAATTTTTCCCCCAGATAGACACCGCTTTAACCAGACACTAACCAAACAAGTCAAGTATTTGATATATTAGATAAGAACATATATTTGATCCAAGTATAAGGATGTTGTCTTTATCCTGTCCTTGTCCGTGTATTTCGGCACTCTGTACAAAGTAAGTTTTGTCTATCCAGACAGCCGGACAAGCAAAATTACAAAAGCTACCTGCCAAGTTGAAAAGTTGCCGGTCAAGATTTTGTAAATTGAACGACCAACTCTTTGCAAATGATATGGAATTGACGCAACAACTGTCAGTATGATCCCGACTTGAGTATGATGTGTACAACCCATTTCTGGTGTCCCCCGCCGTGATATTGCTGGAATATTGCTAAAAGCGGCGTAAAACCATACTCACTCACTCACTCATGCACATTTCTGAACGCTAACACTGGCTAAAGTAAGATTTTGTGCAGTCGCAAAGGGGTCGCTTAAATGTATTCGTAGATTATCGTTCGTCAGCTAATATGAGTTTCAAACAAATTTTTATTTATATATTTTACACATAGGGTTTGAAAAGCCAACACTCCCATCTGGCGTTCATTTTGAAAAAGTTAACTGCTCGAAACGAAAACACATCCTCTCTGTCGATCGGCAGGCAGGTATCTTCAACGCAGAGCCTATAATTTTATTTCTAGATAAAGGGCATTATTCAATGTTAACTGCACGATCGACTGGCAACATATCACGTGTTATTAATTATTTTAGCTGTTTGTTGACTTTCTTGTTTTTGTTGTTTAACGCCATACTCAACAATATTCTAGATATATGGCGGGGAGTCTGTGAAGAATTGAGTCTGGATCAGACAACTCAGTGATTGACAACATGAGCATCGATCTACGCAATTGGGATACGATGACATGCATCAGCGATCCTGACCACCCGATCCCGTTAGTCGCCTCTTACGACAAGCATAATCGCCTCTTACGGCCAGCACGGGTTGCTGAAGACCTATTCTAACACGGATCTTCACTGGTCATTTTCCCTATTCACAGGGCGTAATATGCCTTGTCAAACTTAACTGGATACCACTTATCAAAGTCAGCATGTAACTTAGATAACAACACTGATGGCGTTTCAGAGTCAAGTGGATATTGCCTCAGCATAACGATATGATAGCAGTGACGAGAGATTCCGGTATTGATAGTCGTGCAACAAATATCATTGAAACATGCATCTGATAAGATTTCAAATAAATTAGAACCAGTATTAAACATTAGCACCGTGTCTGACTTGTATAAAGGAAAGGCATGTTTGGGATAACCGGTAACGTGATAAAGACCAGAGAGAGAGTGGGTGAGTTGGGTTTAGCGCCGCGTTGATCATTATTCCAGTTATATCACGGCGTGTCAGCTTAATGTGGGAGGAAATCCCGAAGTGATGCAGGTCTTAGACGTTTACCACTTTGATGAAACCCACGAGCACGGTATGGTGTTGACAAACCTAGAAACAAATCAGGGCGAACCGGATTACGAACCGTGAATATTCCTTATCAATTCCAATGAATTGAAGTCTGATTAAAAAAACATACGTTTCCGTGTCCCTCAAAAGCAAACTGTGATAACACATTGAATTGGCAATATAACACCAGTGGTGGGATGGATGTGGAATGATATGTGGGTAATCATTTCATTTGATTCGCTGCTATAGCGATAGATACAATATTGGTGTTTGAGGCCATCTGGAGATATGAAGGCTGGATCTTTTTCATCGACACACACAGCTTTTCCCATGTCGATTCGTTACCTGATCTCCAAACGGACTCCTAAACGCGCAGTTTGAAGGTGGAGTTTGCGATCTGGCCCAAGATGATTTTGGACTCTTGCAACTATCAACCGTATTCACTTAGTCACTGGCCCTAATTTATTGTCGTTGTGATGTCATTTAACTCTGGCTTGCTCTCGTTAGCAGTCACAACAGTATTTTTGCAATATGTCTGTTGGTTGTTGGAACACTTCAGTGTGGGGCAGGGTACAATTACAGACAGGGTACTAGGGGCGGAGTTTGTCCATGACCCAGAAATACATTTCCATTCATTTTTGTGTGGTAGTTTCTGTTATCTTCAATTGTTCAAAATAAAAGACCTCACCTCTGGAAAAAGCCTTGACTAAAACACACAGTGAGAGTACCATAAAAGTCCCCCACATCTATCCACAGCCAACAATCTACAACAGGTGCAGATCACGCACCACCTGAATAAGAAGCCTTCGTCAGTGTTTCTCTGAATTGTTCAAAGGTAATTATGTCTCATTTAGACAAGTTACCAAAGGATGTGCGTTGGTACTTGGGGCGAAACCGCATTATCGTGAGCAAACTCCGCTTGCCTATCGAAAAATCGAGGTGGACCCACTTTCGAAACTGAACGCACTTGTACGACATAAATAAACATGTATTACGAACTACGATATTTTGTCTATTTAAAATACGCGACTTTCAATTTGGTTAGAAAATACAAATGCGTAGAAACTACAGCAGAACTCACTTCTACGAACACTCAAAACTAGATCCTGGGGTCATTAATATTCATGAGTTATTCCTTTTTTATGGACCAAGTTCCCGGAAAAGTTTGAGGTCATCGGCTTGTATCATGTCCGAGTTCGATTCACGTGCAGACATAACTTACAGATTGTTATCGCCACCGATTTAATTAATGGTTAGATTGTTGTATTACATTGGTAACGGGAAATACAATGGGTATAAAATATCCCTTAGCCGAATGTATCTGTGTTATGGTACACAACAATCTGAAGGGGAAAGGGTAATCGAAACACAGCTACAATAGCCGTCACGATAACGTGGTGGTAGGTTACTGTTATTCAAATTTAGATCCAAACAGGCGGTTTCATGAAGTTTTAACATGTAACTCTCAGTTAAACATGATTTCATTAAAAGTGACCGAGACTAATGATGTACATGTTCCACTTATATCTACTAACGATGTACCTTCATGTATGCAGGATTGGAGCTCCCTCAAATCTCTTTATCTCGAGTGCGTTTCAATGACTTTTGAAATTTTTAGAATTTTCCTCTTAATAATATGTGATCGAGAAATGTTCATGAAAACACCTCTGCTGATGGAGGATGTGCTTTCATATTTACAGGTCGGCAGCTCGCTGAGTCTGGCCTCTACAGCAACTGCTCCATCGCATAGGGGAGGTAGGCTTCACAACAATCAGTTTCTAACCTTTTGCAAAGGAAGGCGTGTTTGCATGGAGACCTCTTGCCAATAATACATTCATCTTTTAATAATATGCTTTGGCAGCAAAAGAGCATAATATATAAAGCCGAAAGGCGCTCTAACAAGCCAGTTATTTTTAATAAATAGTAGCATTTATGTAATATGCTCAGAAATATTTCGGCCGAGAAATTAAACACGCCCCTATACCCGACGGTTTTGCAAAAAGAACATATTTCTTAAGTGTTTCCCTTTCCTTGTTAGAAGCAGCAGATTCTAAGCACTTGTACGCAGCTGACGAAATTCAAAATTAAGATAGCGATTTCGTTAAGAAATCAGTAAGTGTTAATGTGTCTCTGGATTGTCTGGTCACTATCAATGGTTCAAGTACTCTTGATCAGAAAACGCGATAGTAGTGATAAATGGTAACCCAAATGCACAAAGGTATCGAGACGAGGTTCTTCAAACGGTGGTATCACCATTCTAACGTGGACAGCCACAGGGAACAAGCTCTTTTGGAGAAATGGCGCAGAATCCCCCATGACGTCATCAGGAGAATGACGACATCAGTATGACGACGTGTATTAGCCTGCATAAACGCACAAGACGGACATAGAATATTAGGCACTAGAAAATCAGAAAAAGAACAACACGTGGACTTGAAATTGTCTGTCCGGTAAATTATGTATATCTATTAAAATACTGCGCTTCCATGTAATGCCATTTGGTTTTTAAAAAATTGAAAATACACTGCTTGGTGCTTGTTTAATATGGCATTCAACAACTGCGGAACCTCTGAAGTTGGCACAAGCACTGTAGGCAGAGTGAGTGAACACTCCTCAGACCACAATTCGGGATCTGATTGCTTCCATTGGACGACGATGACAGTTGGCTTTGGACTCTAGTGGTCGCCATACACTATATTGCGAACAGATGACATTCACATGTGCCGAATTGGTCCTGGGTCCTGACAATGATGTGTTGAACAATCGATTACCATCTGCTGATTATTTATATGATATGTAAATTAAACATCTCAAATCACATGCATGTAAGCCTTTTTAGCTGTAAATGTTCAGGTGTCGGCCACCAAAACGTCCACGCCAGAGAGAAACAGTGCATCAACTACCATTCAGCTCAATGTAAAAAATCAGACTGACAACAGTCCCTACTTTATCAAGTCAGAATACGTCGCCACAGTGCAGGAGAATACCAGAGTTTCCACATCTGTCATCACTGTCACGTATCTATAACAATCATTTGATAGTATTTGTTATATATATCAGTGTGTGAGTTGATGTTGATCAGCCCGATTGTTTTGACCCCTGTGTCCCATTCGTTGGCGCAGGTAGCCAACAGTGTCTCTTTGTTGTGACCAAAATCGGATGGTCAAACTTTGTGACTTGGTTTACAGCGTGACTCCGTACCCCGACGGTTTGGGACGTTGTGTCATGGTAGCAAACGCTGTTTTTTTCTGGCCTATCGACCGTTAGTTAAGTACCTCTGTCATACAGTTGGAATATTGCTGAGCATTATGCTAAATAACAAACACAAGGACAAAAACGTACCACCACGACCACGGTACGTTGCTGACAGACCAACATTCATAATGGGCGTTTCAATATAGGAGTCGAGCCCATGATCAGATGGGAAAACAACTGCAGAGTGAGACCACTGTGCAACATGGGTCCCGTAGTTTCATATAGACTTCCACTTCAAATGAATAAATATAACAATGATAGACAGGTACATGTGTGTTTTCTTAGAATCTTACTGCTTGTCAGGCTGTAGACGACGATCAGCCAAACTTAAGAAATTTCACATATACACTAAAAGGTGCCTACGGAATGTAAGCACTCCCATTGTGTTTTCTTTAACATCAATTTCGGAATAGTGAAATAACAATCTATTATCATTAAGAAACAGCCCATCCATGCACAAACTAACTGATAATCCCAGTTTAATGCAGTCTTGTTAGGTTGTGTCTACATATGCGGCTTACCTGACAATCGGCGCAGCACTTTTCCACCTTTGTGGTTGAGTAGACAAAGCTGTGCAGTGAAATGTGTAGGTTTTTAAATATAAGCAATAAGACCATATCCATAATTATAAGAAATATATATTATAGAGAGATGTTTTTGAATCACTATGAAACAGTTACGATGTCAGATGTTCGCACAAACGCGAGCCTTACTGAGGTCTTCAATGATGTAACCCTGATAAAACAACTCTTGAGTAAGGGTCGTATCGATATCATTTGAATATCCATATGAAGGATAACTAAGAAGTTCTGAGCCTCACAAAATAGTGAACACTACATGATGTCATAGAGTTATATCGACAAAAACCTAAATCAAATTGTTTCACTGTTATCAAGTCAGCAAAATAGGCATTGGTTTGTGACCATTGGAAAATGGAAGAACTTGAGGAACGGTCAAAGTCAAGTGCTTGCAGAAAATGAGCTTAACAGCAAAAGCCATCCACGAAGATAAGAGTACAACACGAGGGGAGGATGCCCCTTCCTATGCCACCCTAAATAGGTGGTCAGCAGAGCTTGAAGACACCACCAGTCATGGAATGACTGTGACGTAAGTAAGACCAGATATGATCTCAGAGAAACCATGATAGGGTTATGACTGGTGATGGGAGAGTACATTCCATCAGGATCACAGAAACTTTGGCAACGAAGAAAGTATCAGCTCGTAGGGTTCCAAAGCTTCCGACATCTGATAAACAAGAAAACAGCGTCATCACTATCCCCCGCCAAGAGGCACATTATAATTAGAGCTTTAGTTGAATATAAACTATAAAAAAGTTCTATAAAGACGTAAAAAGAGACTTTTATTTCATCAGAAAAATTGATTAAATGTGAAATTAATACACACAAAAGGCCCCTTCTCTGGAAAAAATAACCCAGTCTTGAGAGGAATCTCTTAGATAAGCTAACTTCAGTAGTTTCTGAGAAGACTTGTTTCCATTGCACACGTTATGAACCAAGTTAAATAACATGGATAAAGGGCTATGAATCTGAAAACAAATAATTGACGGGACAGTTTTTGACAAGCATCTCAAACTTTCATTTATGTAACTTCAGTTGGTTCTGCGAAAACGTGTCCCCATTTAAGGCAGTATGCACTAAGTTGAAAAAACATGGAACAAGGGCCATAAAAACGCACCAGGCAAACATGTATCGTGATAATCTAGCCGTTTGAAGCTGATCCAGAAAGGCTCTTGCAACGATGTGTGACTATGGATGAAGCCTGAGTTCAAACAATAATCAAAACAGGAGAAGCATCACCACCAACAAAGAAGGCAAAGACTCTACTATCAACTAGAAACGTTCTGGCCTCCATGTTCTGGGAAACTGAAGGTGGCACAATGGTGGACAGTCTTCTAAAAGGCTAGACAATAGTACCAAATGGAACATATGATGCTGCACATTTGAGGCTATTGCGGGATGAAATTGAGACTACGAGACGTGGGAAGCTCAGAAAGCTCTTACATCAGGACAATACGCCATTACACAAATCAGCCATTGCCATGGCTACAATCAACGAGTGTGGACTCTGCACCCGACTCATTCTCCTGATCTGGTTCTGTCAGACTTCCATCTTTTCCAAAACATGAAGATTGCTCTCATCAGAAGCCATTTCGACTCGAACGATGACGTCAAAGCAGCTGTGGGAACCTTTTTGGACAGCCAAGAGAGGGCCTTACACGAAACTGGGATAAAATCCCTCCATCGTCGTTGGCAAAAGAGTATCAATATGGAAGGTGATTTGTTGAAAGATGAAATCATTTTAATGTCTCCAGGTCAAGTCGCTCTGTGTTTAGCTAAAATATCAACCTTTGTGGAAAGACCACGCTCGATTGTCCTTTAACTGTTGTGACATGTAGATCCAAATGCTGGTGCTGCTGTCATATGTAGTCATCACAATGGTCACACATGGTTGTGAATATTTTTTATCACTCTATATCTTTACTTCACTCTGAAATATGAAACATGTGAGGCAATTTGGTCTCTTTCAATTTTAGTCGAGGTGGTTAAATTGGTTTAAGAGAACTGACTCTGTGGCTATTATTATATCCTATCAGATCATCAGTCAACCTGAATCTACAGATGAACTTCTTGACCAAATTCCCATGTTTTGATTTAACAAATCCGGGCAGAAATTCTCATATGTGTAAAGAAACAGATCAGCAAGGAGGGCAGCACAATTGATCTGAGTATACATATCTGTTCCTCTGGTGTGGTGACTGTGGCCTCTGACCGGCTAGACAGGGAAATTATGACTCAGTACTATCTCACCGTGGAGGCCACAGATCCTGGTGGGAGGAAGTGCACTGCTAATATCACTGTCAACATCACGGCTGCCAACGACAGGCCACCGGTATTCATAGATTATGATGTGTTTGAAATACAACAAAAGCAGCTTTAGAAGACCCATTTCTGTGAGTGTGAGTTAACCAAATACAGGCTATTGTTACTTGTTCTTTTGTAGTTTGGATCAAACTAGGTTTTTCTCTAGATACATCCAGCGAAAACAAATTGTTCATGTAACATTGCTGATGCTTCACCTAACAAAGTTACCACTTTTGCCAACGTGCTCACAAACTTAAAATCCATTATTTTGCAATCAGACGGCAACAAAACAACGCATTCGTTTACAATATTTAGTGATTTTACTGACTTACCTACCTTTTGTGAAAGAAGCTTCCCTGAAACCACGTTAACAAGAGACTATGAATACAAGTATGATTTGATAATATAACTGTTTTCCTGAGTGTTGAGGAATTATTATTGATTGTTTCTCACTGACAAATAGAACAAATTAAAACAATATCAATTTTAAAATCATGTTTAGTATATATTAAATCTGATGTCTTCTGCAGGTGACATGATAAGGAAATTTATGCGTCATAACACCATTATAGATATGTTAACCTTATTCGCCACAGGCCACAGACGCTGATGTAGGGGTCAATGGTCTAGTGAGGTACAGCATCAGCCGGACCTACCCTCGTGGTCTGGACTCCCACTTCGCTGTGGACGGCGTCACCGGTGTTCTCTCTGTAGTCGCTCCTCTGGTAAACAGTAGCAGTAGCCAGGTTGCTGTATCGGTGCGGGCCACGGACTCTGGCACACGGCCACTCTACTCAGATGTTAATGTTACAATTAGTCTGCTGGTAATTATCATTTGACACTGATACTGTCAACTAAATACTGCACCTTATATTGTTTACAATTATTAGTCTTTCAAATTATGTTGTCATATCTGGATCAATACATTATGTTTGAAGTATTTAGACTTGTTTTTAACCTATCGCACACGTTCATGTTGGAGGTATTTATAATATATGCCTTCATTTTTCAGACACCAGGGAGCACGTGCACATGTGAAGAAACAGGTAAATGGCCCGACAAAGCTGGTAAATCTCGTGGACTTGGTACATGGCATGTCATACTTGTTATGTTTTTCAATAGTGTCTGCAATGGAAGCTAGAAACGTTGACTTCTCTATACACGTTGTTAACATGTTTTGACGAAGTAATAATACAGTTGGGGTCACCGTTTCAAATATCTATTACTGGAAAATGAAACGTTTGGCATTGTTTGGCAGCTTCATGTAGGTAGCACAGGGAGAAGACGAAGTGTACTTAACGTTAATGTTTTGACGAAGTAATAATACAGTTGGAGTCACATTAACACATTACCTGTTCTAATATTAAATACAATAATGAGTAAATGATTCGGAAATTCCAATCAAATGACACATTATTGTTTGATGCTTATAAAGTAGCGCCTGTGATAGTGCTGATTATGCATTTTGAACAGCATACTAGTCTTCTACTTTCCTATTTATATATTTCGGATACTTATCACTGGCCTTTTGTGAACAGTGGAACAGCTTGTGATGGCAAACTATTTTCTTTCTCCATTCTTGTAGGATCAACATTAATCTCGGTGTTCACATTATTACAGTGTGAAAATGCCGATAATATTAATAAGCATCATATAGTTTTCCTGTATGTTGCTCCAGAGTAAGTGACAAAAATTGGACGCATTTTCATACAGTCAAGAGTGAGTGAGTGAGTGAATTGGGTTTAACGCCGCTTTTAACAGTATTCCAGTTATATCACGGCTTAATGTAGGAGGAAAGCCCGAAGTGATGCAGGTCTGAGACGTTTACCACTTCGGTGAAACCCACGAGCACGGGTATGGTCCTGACAAACCTAGAAACATAATTGGGGCGAACCGGGATTCGAACCCACAATCATAGGTTTCTGGCGTGCTCAAGGGACGCAACTCTGCACAGCGAATCGCGGCGCCTTAGACGACTGGGCCACCCGTACCCCCCCCCCCCCCCCCCCCCCCCAACAGTCAAGAGCATGGAATGAATCCTACATAGAGAATCTCTTTAAAACTTTAAAAAAAATATGATTTCATAAGGAAGAAACACGGCAGCTCACCAGAAATATTATGAAATAATAGTCTGTTCCCTCCCTGATGTGGCTGTCAGGAGCACTCCTCCTAAGATTCACATATATTACGCTGTTTTCATGGATACCAACTACACCCGACGCAAGGGAGTTAACTGACTATTAAAGTCTAGTTTCCCATTATTTCTGTGAATCTTATTGATTCAGCTTATCATACATACTCGAAGTTTGGTAATTGTTTGATCTCGTACAAGACTCGGGTGACATAAACTATTGGTGAATATCCTGAGATATTCCGCAGATATAATAAATAAATTAACGTCGCACTGACAGTTTTCTGGTGAAAAATTTCGACAAACACCTATGCTGTCTGGAAAAATGCTATGTGAGGCAACCATTGCAACGAATGACACTTTAGATAATTTCAAAGACTACGTGCCTATCAGAACGTATAGTGCTCTTAAAGCGTGATTAGGTAATAAAATATGACTGTGCTTGTACATGTCAGCCAGATAGTATAAGTTCAAGTAGTGATATGGTCATGTCTCATCAGAGAGTCGAGATAACCACCCCTTATTACGTCACGATTCTCGGTCGGATGCAACATCCTGGTCCGTGCACCCCAGTGGGCATGTGATCAAGAATCCGGTTCGTATACTCCAGATACTCCAGAAACTCCTACAGTGGGATTCATCACAGGGACAGGAATTAGCCTAGGTAGGTATCTTTCATATTTCTGCAACTGTTTTGATCGACCAAATCCGTTTTCATGATATTTATTTCGGTTAATTAATTGCTAAAGCATTTACTATTCATATTGTTCGAATAAAAGCGGCGATAATACTTCAAACGAAGCATACATGTGCGTTTACAAATTATGTTAAGTATTGTTGACGTAATGCATTCATCATTGTTGACGTACTGCATAAATCATCGTTGGTGCATTGTAAACATCATTATTGACATATTGTAGACACCATTGTTAACGTATTGTAGACATCATTGTTGACGTATGGACGAAACCATTGTTAACGTATTGCATAGATCATTGTAGACCTATTGTAGACATCATTGTTACCATATTGTAGACACCATTGTTAACGTATTGCATAGATCATTGTTAACGTATTGCATAGAGCATTGTTAACGTATTGCATAGATAATTATTGCCTTATGGTAGACACCATTGTTAACGTATTTTTAGACATCGTTGTTGGCGTATTGCATAGATCATTGTATGTCAGGTTAGGACGCATCTACAGAGGCAATGCCTCAGTTTTGTACAAGGCACCAGCTACAACGTCTTCACCTGGACTAAAAATGAGAACAAAATCGTGGAGCAAACATGTAGACCCGTTTTAGATACCTCTTTCTTTTGATTCGAGCTGTTCTACACGGCTGTGCGGAGATGACGGGTCCCAAATGGACACCTGCAGTTGTCCTGCTTATTTCTCTCTGGAAGGGTGAGTCACGTGGTGTAACATTTATTATTGAAATTTATGACGTATGACGGCCATGCATACTTGTACATGTGTGGAAAAAGCAAGCATGATCATTGTATCAATGTGTCATTTAGTCTATGGCTGAATTATTTCACTTTGGTTTCATGTAACAAAATGGATAATAGTAATAATGTTATTTGAATAAACTAGATCTTTAGTTTTCATTGTCTTGTAAAATCCCTTTCAAGTCAACAGACTGGGTTGTAAAAAAAGAGATTATAATGGATGTCAATGTTTCATCAATCGATCGATATTGCGATATTAATGTGACAAAGCTACACGAATAGTAACGGTATAAGCGTTATCATTCTAAGATCGAAGATACTGGTTACAATATGTTTCATACGTTAACTAACTTGTCATTGGCCTTCCCTTGGTCATGTACTTAAGGCAGTAAAAGGTGGGTACTCTGTCAGCAGTTTGAGTGTTGGTGCATTGAAAATGGACATGAACACATAAATGAGTGATGATGAATTCGTCACGGTAGTTTGTGTATATCCTTTACTCTTTGCTAGTGACACATGTCCGTGTAGCTGATATCATCATCACAGGACACATGAACAGAAACCATACTTTGGATAGTTTGAATATTCATTTGAATAATAGAATATTTCAAAGACAGGTTAATCCTATCATGTATCATGTCATTCCTAAATAATTTTATATACTGAGCAAGTATTATGTAAGCCGTTAATGTTCTTCAAACTACACCTGCACAGCGTATCGATGATACACTTCTTCTTCTTCTGTTTTTTTTACAGTTGTGGTTTGTTTGCCGCCTACATTTGATCCGATAAATACAATACAAATACCTGAGGACACAGCAGCAGGTAAGTTCTCACATAGACGTGGCCATATTGACGGAGATGTTGTCCCATGTTGGCTATGGGTTGTAGTCATAAGTGTAATAGAACAACGCCACAGCTCGAATCGGGACACACATTGCAGGCACCATCACGTGTGTCGCTTTTAATAATGAAGAATCTGTGTGGTAACTCAAAAGCATACGACCTGTATGACAACTTATGTTCAACTGATCTGCATAAACGCTTCGTAGGTTCAGCACCTGTTCATCATAAGTATGATTTCAGAAACGACAACAAATTGTTCTGAAGTGCATTGTTAAAGTTAATGTACTACTGAACTTCAGGAACAGCATCACCGAACATAAATTCACCAACACTAATCTACAAATCTGTTCTAGGTTCTGCTATCGGAGTTCTGACTGTGAGAGATACAACCCCTTCCCACATCACGTTGACACTGTCACCGACAACACAACAAAACGTGTATCTAAACCAGCATATTAGCATCAATGGCTTTTACAACGCCAGTATAGTTCTACAGAGAAAGCTGGACTATGAAACAGTAAGTCTTTCCTGTATATCTTCCACAGAGTATGTTGAATTATCAGAATTCGAGAGAGTTAGACAAAGAGAGAGCGAGAGAGACAAAGAGAATGTGTATGAGAGAGAGTGAGTGAGTGAGAGAGAGTGAGAGAGTGAGTGAGTGAGAGTGAGTGAGAGAGAGAGAGAGGCAGAGAGACAGAGAGAGAGCAGCCTCTCAGATGTACATTAAACATATAATATGACAAGTTTACAAACATAAAAATGTATTAATATGTTTTCTGCATGCTTCCTGTTACTACTTTTGTGTGCATTGATACAGCTTGTAGCTTTATAATGGACCGACTTATTAGGATTTCTTGATCACTTTGTCATTACTTTCTCATTGCTTTGTTATTGTTTAGATTGATCTATCTATCAGAAGTAAATACTCCAGACAGTAATGCACTTTGAGAAATACAGACTGGATATAAGCGTTATAATAATATATATTTGTATTTGATCTATACAATTGAGTCTGTTAATAATTCCTCTGGTAATAAGATGACTAATCTCGAGCGAATGAAGGAATTTGGTAGCTGATAATATTCACTCACTCATTATGAGCCGATAATGGGCCGGTAAATGGTGATTAGTGGATGAGTATATTATAACCCCGATTTGAGCAATATTCCATAATCTATCACAGCTTGGTAAACGGAATACAACCTGTAAAATGGTGACGTGTTTGCCAGACTTATCTGTTAAATGCTTACAGTCTTCTATCACTCACTACAATGTCCTATCTCGTGGGGAAACGAGAAAATATAACAAATGTAAAATAGTTATAATGAAATGGAGCAAGCGTACTGTTTAAATAAATATTTTAGATGTAAAATTGTTTACATGCCGCCGTCGCGTGGCAGGAACACCAATGTGTAGCGTTAGGTAAGGAACAAACATTTACATTTTTCTGCACATTGTTTGGGTAGTGGGTGCTACCTATACAGCAGGACATGGAGCAGGAGTAGGAAACGTCAGCACTGGGATAACTGACGGCTAATGTCAATTTTTCATACGAATCGAGTTTCACTCTCGACTTCCATGTCCTAAAGAAACCGAGTTTGGAAACGTCCCCATGAGCGTTTCATGGACGTTGATGTCGTATCGCATGATCGTTTTGGGATTGAGTCCATAGTTGTAAGGGTTATATCACAATGACTGATCGAACTGCGCTCCATATTGTACATGGCAGAGTCACAAGTCAATGCCACTGGGACCACATCATTGCAACACTCGTAGTGCCATTTACACAACGTGTTGGGCAACATTTCATCTTTCAAAATGATAATGCACGTGCTCATTCGTCCAACAGTATCACGTCCATGTCATGCCATGACCAGCACTTAGTCCCTACCTTTCCCTCATGGAACTCGTCTGGGACGTCATTTGTAGACGCGTCAAGATGCACCAACCACTATCATTTTCCAAATCTTTTTGGCATCGTCTAGTCGATGTCTCTCAAAAGGTTAAAATGTGTTAACTGACATAACCTGACGCTGAGTGCGTTTGAATCACATGTACAACTTTGGAAATTTACTCTAAATAACAGGTGATAGACAAATTGCAGATTGCAAATTTCGAATTTGACCCCTGACCTCTTTAACGACCTAGTGCGCCACCATCTCAGCACAAGACCTTTTTGACCCCCATAGATTTGATCGCCTACTCCTCAGCAGATATGATCATATCATTAACATTTTCATTTGCCAATACCATATTGTCCAGCTGCTTCTCAATATCCCCTACTTTTTTGGCATTGTATAGTCAATATCTCTCAAAACGTCAATATGTATTAACTGACGTAACTGATGCTGAGTGCGTTGTACAGCTTTAGAAACTTACTCTAAATAACAGGTGATAGACAAATGTTCCTCATGTTCAGCTTATGAAAAATATCTCTGCTGATGATATGCACTCATACATTCAGGACGGCAGCTCCCTGAGACTGGTCTTTACGGCAACTAATCCATCAACTCCGGTAGGTAAATTCATCAGCTTCATAATTACATGTTTCTCACCCCTAATCCATCAACTCAGATAGGTTCATTGCAATTTGTTTCCATTAACTAATACATCAACTCTGGTAGGTAGACTTGTCGGGTTCATGGCAACTTGTTTCCATTAAATATAATCCATCAACTCTGGTAAGTACACTGGCCACCTTCACAACTTGTTTCCATCCACTAATCTATCAACTCAGATAGGTTCATGGCAACTTGTTACCACTCAATAATCCATCAACTCTGGTAGGTAAATTTGTCAGCTTCATGACAACCTGTTTCCATTAACTAATCCATCAGCTCCGGTAGGTAGACTTTATGATTTATATACCGGTGATTATAGCGCCGTAATTTCACAATGATGTTGAGTTATATTCAGTAGAACATTAAGATCTCTATTGACGAGCGTTTTAAACATGTGTTACAATATTAACACATGTATGTTTAATGATGTGTAGGACGGAGTCCGTCAAGATGTGACTGTCATCATCACTGACGTCAATGATAATCCACCACAGTTCCTGGGGCTGCCCTACTCTGTCTCCGTCCCAGAGGTTGTAAAGCTTTCATTGTGCATTCGTCTTTTTTAAAACTCGGCACAGATAGCAATTAAGCAATTAAACATTATGCACTCTTTTTCCACAATCTACACAGAACGGCATTTAACAAACCTCCATGGTTTACTTTGATGCCCAGAAATACTGATTAATGAGAGAAATACATTCATGAAGAAGTATGTGAGCTCAGGGTTGGCATTTCAAAGTAACTCAGTTCAAGTCATCCTATTAACGACATCTATAGTTGTAAATAGTACATTTGGATCCTTAATTCAGAATCACATCGTCAACACTGTCATCTTAACCGCCAATAGCACAGACCCTGATACAGGGATAGGGGGCTTAGTCAACTACACCATGAAGGTACATGCTTCTAAAGTCTTTCATGTAATGTTTAAACACTGTTAATTCAGAAATTAATGCCAGGATAAAATAAGTCAGATCAGTGGTTAACCGTTTCTGACATCAACATGAAGTACATACTTTGTCATGTAATAGCCGTGTCAATTCAGAAAATAATATCATCAGATATTAGTGTGTGGTATTGTTAGTGTGTGTATGTGAATCCACTGATTTTGTACATGTTCAGACATCAAGTGCGGATGTCAGAAGCAAGTTCCAGGTGACCAGGACTGGTAACGTGACACTGATTGGAGCCCTGGACTATGAGACCATCAGTTTCTATCAGTTCACAATTGTTGCTACAGTAAGTATTTGATGGTACTTGGATGTTCATTCTTTCCATGCTTTTCCATACTTATTGCTGTTCTTGTATAAAACAAACAATACAATGATACATCTAAACATGTAGCCGTGTGAGTGAGTGAGTGTATGAGTTGGGTTTAACGCCGCTTTTAACAGTATTACAGTTATATTGCGGCGTGTCAGCTTAATGTGGGAGGAAAACCCAAAGTGATGCAGGTCTCAGACGTTTACCACTTCGGTGAAGCCCACGAGCATGGGCATGGTGCTGACAAATCTAGAAACATAATCGGGGCGAATCGGGATTCGAACCCACAATCATAGGTTTCTGGCGTGTCCAAGGGACGCAACTCTGCACAGCGAATCGCGGCGCCTTAGACGCCTGGGCCTCCCCCGTAGCCTTGTGAGTTAAAATGTATTTCTTACACTTCTTGAGAGAAAACTATCGTTTTCCTAACCAAGACGGTCGTAGTATTGTTTCTAGGTGAACCTGACCATTATAGTGGAGCAGAAGGGCCACCTACTGAGGAGGTACCCAAACCAGCATATTATTCACAGTGAATGATAACAGCAGTGCGGAACATGCTCACCTATTTCGCGAACACCTGGTGGCATTAATTCTTGACATCAAACTCAGCAATATTCCAACTATATGACTGCGCCCTCTCTTCACCAGACATCCGAGTGGTTGATATGAACAACGTGCAACCCACGCGTGCAACCCACGCAATCAACCAAGATCTACTCAGTCGCCTCTTAGTACCAGAACATGTATAGTAAACTAACTTTACAAGGTTCGCGTGTATAGGTCATTGTTTATATATTGTGTGATAGCGCGGGCTACCATTTTGATTAGGCGTGTTTTTGTAATGATGACAGAGTCACCTTTTTGTCTATAACTCGTAAAATCTTGTCGGACTACCTGTCACTTGTTCTTTTTGTCTCAGGAGTATGACACAGAAGCCATATATAAATGTTTAACAGTATAATGTCACGGTCATTGTAAATGTCTATGAACATGTACCAAAGTTAACGTACCGTACTCACACATGTATATCCTCCTACCAGGACGGAGGAGGTCTGACCAGCGAGGCCCAGCTGTTTGTGACTGTAACAGATGTCCAGGACACACCACCATACTTTACTGGAAGGCCTTACCTACCTGATATCTGGGAGGACCATGCTGTGGTAAGGATAGTTCTATTTGACATCAGTGACTGTTTTGTCAATTAAACAACTTGTCATAGATAGACGAGTACATTATTACAAAGTATCACAGAACATTATTGTGAATTATCAACAAATGCCGATTTCAGAACAGCAACGTCGTGACGATCTCGGCTCAGGATGGAGACAGAGGCAACCCCAACAACATCACCTACAGGATCACAGGCGGTATTTATATTTCATTTTTGAGAACTATAGAAATGCTTGATGAGTGGATATTAGCATAGTGTACTTATTATGATGTATCCCTTGATATATTTTAGGCACATGTCCAGGATATTTCAACATCGACCCAACAAAAGGAACAATTGACCTAATCCATGATGCTGAGAGAGACATCGGGACAGTCCTCCAGAACAATGGGATATGTGTTATCGATGTCCAGGTGAAATTTAAAATCCTAAATAATTGTATCCTATTTGGTGATCACGAGGCCTGCATTTCACAGACGTACCTTCTTACTGACTACTTGATGCCCACCTTTAAGGGCACAACGAACCCATGTCCTCTTTGCCTGTGATGCATCTACAAGAAGCCCATGCATGTTGGCTTGGTGCAACTAACACGTGCAATGAAGGCATTCGAAATAAGGCCACTCAGATATATTTATGATATTGTCTCACACAGTCTTGGGGGAGATAGGTAGCCATGATGTTGGGCACTATTTTGTTACACGGAAGACTAGATTTTGATTCTATGTGTGAGTATCATGCAGAAAGACAGTTCTTGGTGTCCTTGAGGTGTGGGGTTGGAATAACACAACATGGGGTGTAAAACCCTTCTCATTCACTGTCCTCTGTTTTTCTGTGTTCAGGCTGTAGAGGTGACGTCTCCGAGCACATCCGGTGCTACCGCCAGCGACACGGTGACCGTGACCATAAAGGACAAGAACGATAACTCTCCCAGGTTCAGCTGCTCCTACTACGAGGCTACCATCCAGGAAAACATGCCGACGGGGATACCCATCACCTTCACGACTCAAACAATACATGTAGAGGACAAGGACCAGGTCTGAGGACACTATGATTCACAATGCCTCTGCATGTTATGTATGGCGAAATATTTGAGGCAAGAAAACATTTCCGTTAAAATCCTGACAAACGTGACAGTCAGAGATTCAAGATGTACTTCTTGGTGCATAAAAGAATTTGTTTTGAACCACTGCACATTATTTTTCTGAAAAGCCAGTGTATCACAATTTAACGTATTTTTATTGTTACAACTGAGGACAAGTTATTTTTTTCAAACATTTTCGTTGAAGGGACAAGACGTTGCCCTGAAATTGTCGTTATAAACAATAAAGAAGTTGTTAACGCAATGGTATTATGTTTTCTATTGTGTCTGAGCAGAATTGACTACTTGTTTTTCAGGATGAAGTGAAATAGCTTCCTACATTTGAATTTTTTCAAGCATATTAAATATTTTATAGGGGGACAACGCCAAACTATCACTGACATTGGATTATTATTCAACGAGGTATTTTGAGATTGTCCCGTCCACTGTCCAAGGATCAGCAAATCTACAGATCAGAGTGAAGGATAACACCATCCTCGATTATGAACAGAGGCAAAGTATTTCACTGACGGTAACACAACGCATGCAATTGCATCAGATGTGCCTCGCACCTTCGTTTTTTTATTTGTGAAAAACGTTTTCAAAATTAAACATTGACATTAATACATATATTGAAGACATACTAAAATATTGTTTGGTTTACCTATGCAATAAAATGTTTTTTTCTTTCTTTCTTTATTTTGAAATATATATCTGCTCAGTGTTGACGGAGGCATCACTGCTCATTGAAACATCTATAATGTGTTGTGTCTAGTCAGTAAACAATCAGATATCAATATAAATAAATATTTGCACGCATCTCATTATAAAAAAATACTAGTCCCTGTCTAACGAATAAAACCCTTTAGGCAGATGTAATTATCTTTATTAATGAAATCCTAAATCTACTTTCATCCATTGTGCGGTAACGTTCCAATACAATCCTAATTACACTGTTTCACGTAATTATTCTGCACCCAAGCACATGCACTTTCTGTGAATGTCCAGGCTTGGGCCAACGAAACGTCCACACCAGAGAGAAATACTGCATCTACCACCATTCGACTTTATATAACAAATCAGAACGACAACAGTCCCAACTTTACCAAGTCTGATTACATCGCCTCTGCCCAGGAGGGTAGTGGGGTCTCCACATCTGTCATCACCGTCACGGTATGTGTAACAATGTAACATGTAACTTCATCAACACTCTCTACATTTGTCAAGACAGTTCAATTAGGACATTCCTCACAGCAGTCACTGCTCTTTCTTGTCAATACTGGATATTTGGGTGGAACAGCTTTGAGTGTTGTGTTAAACAACAATGAACGATATAAAACGATCTTTATGAAACCGATGACCACTGTTTGATGTGGACCAACAATCATAATGGAATTGAAAATAGGAAAACAATATCGAAAAGAAATAGCGGATCCTTGAACGTTAAAGGAACATAACAACACAGTGAGAACACTGTGCCACGCGTGTCCCGTAGCAAATATAGACTTCTACTTGAAACGATGAAGTATAACAATGATAGACACATACCTGTTTTCTGTGAGTGTACTTATTTTTCAGGCTGAAGACCACGATCTGCCCCCCTTCAGAAATGTCACTTATGCACTTCGAGATGCCGACGGAATGTAAGCATGGTGGCCTTTATAACATCCGTTTATTGTATAACTGCATAACTAAACATATAGTTTTCGGAAACATGAACAATTAACCTGTTATCAGTGAGTTACAACCCACATTCATTGTTCGTCGCTTGTGTCCATCCCTCTTGTGCTCTCTTGTATCTCCTATGATGTAAGTACATTGTTGTTGTTGATGATGGGAGACCGGTGCATCAATAGACTTGTCTACATATCTATGTATAACAGAATGTATAACTGCATACATGTATATCGTTTCACAGCTACGTTGTTCTGTCGCCCCCCCCCCCCCCCCCCCTCTCCCTATCTTCTGCAGCTGCTGCACATATTTCTGAAAAAAGGCAGACAGTTCATCATTATGTATTTAGAGAACCCAACATTTGCGAGGTAGAATTTGATCTTTTGCGTGTTGAACAATTTAAACATCTTAACAAAGCTTATTGGATCCATGTTTACTCCAGTTTTATTGAAGTTTTTACACTTTCAGTTGTGTTCTTATGAATTCTGATGCATAATGCTTGCCGTATTGGCGACTATGCTTGTCGTAAGAGGCAACTATGCTTGTCGTAAGAGGCGACTATGCTTGTCGTAAGAGGCAACTAACGGTAGTCAGACTCGCTTACATGGTTGCTGCCTGTCATCGATCCCAATTGCGTAGACCGATGCTCATGATGTCAATCACTGCCTTGTCTGGTCCAGACTCAATTGTTTACAGACCGCCGTCATAATCTCCTTTATATTATCTGTTTATTCTCTGTTCAAGGTTCTCCATCAATTCCTCTGGTGTGGTGACTGTGGCCTCTGATCAGTTGGACAGAGAGACCAAGTCTGTGTATTATATCTTCGTGGAGGCCACAGACCCTGGTGGGTGGAAGGACACCGCTCTGCTCACTGTCAACATCACAGACGCCAACGACAATCCACCGGTATTCAGAAGAGATTATGACGGATACTTGAAAGAAAACGAACACAGCTTTAGTAGGCCCATATCTGTGTCGGTGAGTTAACCAAATGCAGGTTAATGTGTTTTAGCTCACGTTACTAGTTCTTTAACAGTCTGAAACAGATAAGACTTTGTACACCTCGATACAAGCAATAACAGATTGTTGCAGTAACGTTGATATAGTGTTTCACCCTGACAACATTCTCACATTTGCCAACTGATTTCTATACCAAATACGTCAGGAATTTGTTTACATGGTTGCAAAAAGAGGTTTCCTCAATACAATCATGTCATATGTCTTCAGTACCTTAATTTTGAGGACATTCTTTTTCAATGCTTTGACTTAACAATGCACAATGATAGAATTCCTAAGAAAGCCTGTGATATGTTTATGTTCTATGATAACTGTGGAAACCAAACCTATACAGCTACCGTACGCACTGATTGATTTGGATTTGTATAGATTGCTCAGTGTGTTGGATATAAATTTGCTTTCTTAGACTTTTTAAAATGGTTGCAATGGATATATATCATCAAACACGGAACAGTATCATAGAAAACAGCTCAAAACATACATGTATATAATAATATATAAGCTTAATCGAACCTGAGAAGTACCTCACCCTTTTAATAGATAGAAAGATTCCCGACATAGGTACATTGTGTGAAGCCCATTTCTGGTGTCCCCCTCCGTGATATTGCTGAAATATTGCTATAAGCGGCGTAAAACCATACTCACTCACTCACTAATAGATAGAAAGCAAGGTAATATGTTGATAAGACTGAGAACGGGGTTGAAAGTTAACGGAGGGTGGTTGGGGATTGATTTAAATTGACGCAAATGTCCTCTTTGTAATCTTTGGATAGAAGGACATTTAAGATAATTTTACCTTAATGTTATTCCTATAAGAACACCTCTATCTCCCTAAAATGTATTTCCATAATCCAAGTATGATTAATAAATATATTAAATATGAATAATATTAGATGGCTTCAGTATTCGAACGATATATTGTTACTAAGAAACTTATGTGAACATCTATGTCAAAGTTATAAAATGAGACAAAGTTTTGCAAATTCTTGAATACTGTGATGTAAGTTATGTATGGATTCATGTACCATTGTTGTATGTATATATGCACTGTCTCTGTAAATTGGCCAGTTGCCTTCAGACGAATAATTATAATAGGCTTGACAAACTGATATCCGTAATCAACGTTTTCACAACAACTATAATCGTCTTCCGAGATTTGACCTTGGCGTTCTTTTCAACTAGGCTACAACAAAGTGCTAACTTCTTTAGAACAGATTTCCGAATCGAGGAATTACCGGTATTGGTTTTTCACTGGCAAATACAGCAAATTGAAAAATATCTTTTTCGAGATCAAATTAAGCATCTGATATAATGTATACTACAGGTGACATGATAATGAAATTTATGCGTCATGACACCATTATAGATATGTTAACCTTGTCCGCCACAGGCCACAGACGCTGATGTAGGGGTCAATGGTCTAGTGAGGTACAGCATCAGCCGGACCTTCCCTCGTGGTCTGGACTCCCACTTTGCTGTGGACGGCGTCATCGGTGTTCTCTCTGTAGTCACTCCTATAGTAAACAGTAGCAGTACCCACGTTGCTGTATCGGTGAGGGCCTCGGACTCTGGCACACCGCCACTCTACTCAGATGTTAATGTTACAATTAGTCTCCTGGTAATTATCATTTGACACTGATACTGTCAACTGTAAATACGTGCATCTCGTGTTGTTTAAGATCATTCAGGTAATCTGTCTTTTTAATAAAATATGTTCTCGTTTCTGGATAATTCAAAGTTATTAATGTTGCGTTAAACCTAACACACACGTTCATTAATTTTACAGATTAAATATATATGTGGCAAACATTTTTCAGACACCAGGAAACACATGCAGAGAAACAGGTAAATTGCCCCTAGTGACTGTCGCTTTATTAATCTGTATACGGTAATCATACGTTTTGCGGAAGTAATAACACAGTTGCCTTCATCGTTTCATCTGTCTGTCTGTCTGTCTGTCTATCTATCTATTGTTTAAATTCAATTAATTTTATTGTGATAAAACCAAACGTGTGCCTGAAACTGCTTATATGTTTCAGCCTATCCATCCCGAACCCCCATCCTCCACTGTGAGGAAGAGGCCTCATCCGGGAGTTTGTTCAGGTGGTGCAGCAGGTGCGAGCAGGGATTCTACAGGAAAGATGCTGCTTGTGAGGGTAAGTTCAGAATGGACATTGACTTACAATGAAGAGATACTGGTTACACAAGAAACAGAGATGCAGGGCTTCAATTTAGCCACAAATAGGCATCACTATAATTGTTAGTATGATTCCGAGTATTTCATAAGTACCTGTACATGTGTTTATGAATCCCAATCAAATAATTATACCAGGTGTTCAAAAAGGTGATCATATCCTGCCCCAGCGGTGACACCTGTCACGAAAACTTCCAAAGGCAAGTCACTTGTTAACCCGAAAAAACCCACAGCATGTGAGAAAAGTCAAATTAGGGAATGCATAGTACATCGTGTTTGTCACAAATGCGTCAAATTTGGAAATGTCCTCCACATGTCCACCATAAAGCATTTAAAAATCTTTACTAAGGCCATGAATGTTGAAACCCTGTGATCAAACAACTTTTGATCAAGAACTAACCCAAAATAACGCAAAATCTCAAAATTTTAAGTATTTTAAACAGTTCCTATGCAAAGTTTCACAATAATTATGAACTGCGTATACGTTAAGCTAGGGATATGAATTGCACTCAAGTTTGAATAAATGTCCCAATGTTACATTGGAAACGCAGACAATAAACACAGTTTTATGATAAGTATTACACAGCGTATTAGATATTCCCCGGAAATGAATACAACCTCCTTTCCTCATGAGTCTGACTTGCTGCTTTGTAACGCAAAAAATACAAAAAAAAGAATAGCAAAAGAGACTTTCAACAATTTACTGGTAAATATGCAATGTTTCACTCTAAACCCTGGAAACGATCCTTTCCCTTTTAAACAACATACATCATGTCTTTGAAAGGCATTTAAAAGTGATACACAAGAGGAAGAGAATTTATTGATGTCAACTTCTTTATTATGAGGAACACAACGTTTCGGAGTATATACTCACTCCATCAGGTGAATGAATGCTATGAAACAGAGAGCACATACATGTATATGTACATTTAAGAACAACAAAAGTAATACCATAACAAATGTGGAAACTTAAACAATGGAAGCCAACAGATAAAAGGCGCTGATAGGTGACTAGCAATGAACAAATGCAAGCCATCACCTCGTTTCGGTGAGGTAGTGCCGTAGCCTCGAAATCGAGCGAACGCTTTAACCACTAGGCTACCCCAACGCCTCTTGTATACAAGTAGCTGTGTCACTATTAATTGATTGTATAGAGCAAATCTTCCAGCCTGGTTGTCATCGATTGCACAGATACTAGTATTGGTGTGGTGGATGTTACCACAGAATTCACACGTCACTTTTTATTGATGTACTGGTACGAAGCTTTCAGGTACTTTTTTTAATTCGGCTACGAATACTTCTCTCATGCTAACTATTTATGACTAACATGGAGATCCTCTCAAACAGTATGCCCTCGACCCCATGCTGGATGCCGGGATGTGCTCTGCTCCTCCCCCAACAACGTCCGCTGTACCAGCTGTCATCCGGGCTTCTACCTCACAGGGAGCACCTGTTTAGGTGAGACATCAAGTGTCAGTGACAGTCACACACACCATACATAAAACACACAGACACGGTTTAGTAAATTATAAAAAAAATATTCTGATGGAATTAAATAATCAAGATGTAGACAATCTCACCCGAGTGTCTTTTGATATCAAATATATCAACACGAGTTGATAAAAGTGGGATGACTCCGAGGCTTGCCGATTTTTTCCACTTTTATCAACGAGTGTTGATATATTTGATATCAAAAGACACAAGGGTGAGATTTTATTTATCATCCAACATCATTCTGCAAACCTTTTCAGTTTGTAGACAGTAATAAGCAGTGTCTTCAGTGTAAAAAGTACTGCTAACAGCTTCAGTAGAAGAGCCATTAGTGATGTCATTTGATTGTGACGTCATGGTAGCCAATGACGTCACAATGGTCTGCAAAGCATTGTGATGCAATTTCATTGCAGCGATATCTACAGTGTAGATATCGATTGATCTCACCCAAGCGATACCTCCTGTTGGAGCCAGTTTTGGATGATAGATAAAATCGATACATGTTTATTACATATTTCCATATTTTCCGTCCATCTTTCAGAGTGCCCTCAATCAGGACCTGATTGCCAACAATTCGAATGTACAGATCCTCATCAGGTGACCTGCACCAAATGTAATGAAGGGTTCTTCTTCTTTAAAAACCAGTGTACAGGTAGGTTATGTTTTCTTTATGTATACTTGCATGTATTCCATATATGTGTAGGTCTGTTTCCACTGATTTGATTTATTAAGCCAAAAAATAATTCTTAACTCACCACCCTATAGATTGATTGAGTGGCTTTCTGCAAATTAAGCAGTCTCCCATACACACTGTGAATACTTCTCTTGGCATCAGTACTTGGTAGGTTTCACCAGATACTTATGTTATATTGTCAGTGTGGTTTTACAGTTATAGTGTAATTTTGGTGTTATAGAGAGGAGATTAACATCCGCAATAAAAGAACAAAGCGTTTGGCTTCTTGTGGTATGTGTACTGGGAGTGATAGAAGTTCTGAATTTTAATGTTGATGATTTCAACAGAAAATGGACTTCAAGCATTGTAGCAAATACTCTTTGCCACTGCCAGAAGACTCGAACTATTTTCAACCATCCATTGATCTAAGTGCCAGTTTATGCTACTACATATTTCCGTGCAATCATCCTGCTTTATTGTACTCAAACGGTGCTTACCCACATTAAGTAGTGATTACCTTAGCTTGATTATGAAAAAGAATAAATTTGCATTAGTTTTTGAAAGAAGTGTGAAAATTTTCTCATGTTGAAAAAGATCGTTAGTAAAATTATCTTTGGCAACTGATCCAGAAGGAGTGGATAGGTACTGTACCTAAAGAACACGTGTTTATATCGACTACAAATGTCGACTTATTCCATGTCCAAAAAAGTAGGAAATGAAGTAAGGTTTGGATTTTTGTTTTTGTTCTAACTTTGTGACGGAAACAGGTCCTTTTATAACAACTTCTACCAGGTATAAGTCGATAATGTCTTTTGAAAATATTAAGGAATATATTTTCTGCAATAAATATCATGTGATATGAATTGTGAAACGTGCCCACGTTCGCAAACAGCGTGATGATTATGATGTTGGAACTTTTACGAGCGCTTCCGGTGGTGCCCATTTCCCTTTCTGAACAGCATACCAGTCATCCACTTCCCTATTGATATTTTGCGGATGCTTATCCCTAGCATTATTTCCTCTGTCAGCGTGTCCGTCCACGATCCTGATCCCTGACTGTGTGGACGTCGTCAGAGACGGCTGCTTCAAACACTGGTGCAGGAAGTGTGCTCCTGGCTTCTTCATCAGCGGAACAGCCTGTGATGGTAAAATATTTTCTTTCTCCATTCTTGTAAGATTAAAGTAAATCTTGAGATGGGGTCCAGATAAGTGTGTAAAGTCCCAAAATCTTTAAGGTGTATATAGGTTTCCTGTACGTTGCTAAAGGGCAAGTGACACGGCGAGAACTGGAAGCCATGTCCAATCATGTATATTAGAGTGAGTTGTAGAGTGATTAAGTGAGGGAGTTGGGTTTAATAGAATTTCAGTTATATTACGGCGCGTTAGCTTAATGTGGGAAGAAAGTCCGAAGTGATACAGGTCTTAGACGTTTACCACTTTGGTAAAACTCACGAGCACGGATATTAAGGAATCGAACCCTGAATCATAAGTTTCTGGCGTGCCTAAGGGACACAACTTTGCACTCTGCCTTTTACGACTCGTCCACCCGTGCTCCCTGTTCCACAAAGAGCATAAATGAGAAATCTCTGGATCGTTGTGAATTTAATTCAGCGTTTCTGTTAACTTGACTAAAAAATAGATATTTCAAAAGTGAAGAAACAAACCAGCAGCTCGTCAGAAATACCAGAATCTCCTTCTTTGACAGTCTGTCCTGTCCCTGATGTGGGCTGTCAGGTAGCAGAGTGTAACTCCTCGTCCTCAGATTCACATTGTGTCAGATGTTTCCATGGTTACCAACTGCAAGGAGGATCATGCCGTATGTATAGCTTCTGCCATTTTTCTATTTTTTCCGTCTGTTGTGTTATCATCAACATATATAAAAATAAAAATAAAAACAATATTCTAATATCACTTTTTTTTGCTCTTTGTGACAGATCATGTCTCTGGAGTAGGATCAACCCCTACCAGTCAGTGTGTGGATCGTCTTCCTAAAGCCGACTGTGCCTCGCTACAGTCATCGCTCAACGTCTGCTCAGAACCGACTACGGCCTGTAACTACTGCCCTCAGTATTGCAAAATGTGTGACACGTGCCCCCACAGCATGCCTGTCGTTGGATAATGATATCTCAAACAAGATATAACGTTTTGGTTTAATATTGCAACGAATACGTGTGACATGAAGTAGTAAAGACAAAGTAAATAAACATGTTTTCTTCCTTTAATTATCGTTTCATATCATATTATCAGTCATAAGTATCCCTCGGGATGTGTGTGTGTGTGTGTGTGTGTGTGTGTGTGTGTGTGTGTGTGTGTGTGGTGCATGCATAAAGTTGGATTGTCCGTTGGGTTAATAGCTTCAAGACCTATCTGGGAAATGGTCACTTATACACAGATCATCATTGACTGACCATTCAAATAAATTCATTAAGTTTGAATCTCTAAAAGACAGAACTAATGCAGAATGCGTACCACTGTCAGCGTGTAAATACTTTTCTGACCCTCATTTGAAAATACACAAATTCTTATCACCTAAAAAATCTTCAAGGACTTTAATAATTGTACTTCCTATATATCATCAATCACGGAACAGTATCATAGAAAACAGCTCAAAACATAAATGTATATAAGAATATATAAACTTAATCGAACCTGAGAAGTACCTCACCCTTTTAATAGATAGAAAGATTCCCGACATACATGTAGGTACATTGGGTGAAGCCCATTTCTGGTGTCCCCCGCCGTGATATTGATGGAATATTGCTAAAAGCGGCGTAAAACCATACTCACTCACTCACTAATAGATAGAAAGCAAGGTAATATGTTATAAAACTGAGAACGGGGTTGAAAGTTAAAATGAGGGTGGTAGGGGATTGATTTAAATTGACGCAAATGTCCTCTTTGTAATCTTTGGATAGAAGGACATTTAAGATCATTTTACCTTAATGTTATTCCTATAAGAACACCTCTATCTCCCTAAAATGTATTTCCATAATCCAAATATGATTAATAAATATGAATAAAATTAGATGGCTTCAGTATTCGAACGATGAATTGTTACTAAGAAACTTATGTGAACATCTATGTCAAAGTTATAAAATGCGACAAAGTTTTGCAAATTCTGGAATACTGTGATGTAAGTTATGTATGGATTCATGTACCATTGTTGTATGTATATATGCACTGTCTCTGTATATTGGCCAGTGGCCTTCAGACGAATATTAGGCTTGACAAACTGATATCCGTAATCAATGTTTTCACAACAGCTATAATCGTCTTCCGAGATTTGACCTTGGCGTTCTTTTCAACTAGGCTACAACAAAGTGCTAACTTCTTTAGAACAGATTTCCGAATCGAGGAATTACCGGTATTGGTTTTTCACTGGCAAATACAGCAAATTGAAAAATATCTTTTTCGAGATCAAATTAAGCATCTAATATAATGTATACTACAGGTGACATGAAATTTATGCGTCATAACACCATTATACATATGTTAACCTTGTCCGCCACAGGCCACAGACGCTGATGTAGGGGTCAATGCCCAAGTGAGGTACAGCATCAGCGGGACCTACCCTCGTGGTCTGGACTCCCACTTTGCTGTGGACGGCGTCACCGGTGTTCTCTCTGTAGTCGCTCCTCTAGTAAACAGTAGCAGTAGCCAGGTTGCTGTATCGGTGCGGGCCACGGACTCTGGCACACGGCCACTCTACTCAGATGTTAATGTTACAATTAGTCTCCTGGTAATTATCATTTGACACTGATACTGTCAACTGTAAATACGTGCATCTCGTGTTGTTTAAGATCATTAATATTCAGTTAATCTGTCTTTTTAATAAAATATGTTCTCGTCTCTGGATAATTGAAAGTTTTTAATGTTGCGTTAAACCTAACACACACGTTCATTAATTTTACAGATTAAATATATATGTGGCAAACACTTTTTCAGACACCAGGAAACACATGCAGAGAAACAGGTAAATTGCCCCTAAAATGCAATTTCTCATGGATTGGGTTCAAGCGTCACTCATTTCATATAATCGTTGAGAAGCAGATGACTGGATGTGATATTGATCGATGAAGGCTAGAATGGTAACTGAAAACGTTCGTAGTGACTGTCGCTTTATTAATCTGTACACGGTAATCACACGTTTTGCGGAAATAATAAGACAGTTGCTTTCATCGTTTCAAATATCTAGAAATGAGAATAATGCATCTGACACTGTAGTAACATGTGCATGTAACCCAAAATAACGCAAAATCTCAAAATTTTAAATATTTTAAATAGCCAGATGCAGCAGGTCAACACTTGTTTGGATCTTATGCAAAGTTTCACATTAATTATGAACTGCGAATACGTTAAGCTACGGATATGAATTGCACTCAAGGTTGAACAAATGTCCCACATGTTACCTTGGAAACGCAGACAATAAACTCAGCTTTATAATAAGTATTACACAGCGTATTAGATATTCCGACATTCTGTTGGAATTAGATAATCAAGATACATTGGTTTGCGCAATTAATACTGCCTTATATAACACATGCCTATACCAGAACTCGCAATGTCATACTACCTTCACAGATACATTGATAATTTCTTTGGCATCTTTTCCGTCCATCTTTCAGAGTGCCCTCAATCAGGACCTGGTTGCCAACAATTCGAATGTACAGATCCTCATCAGGTGACCTGCACCAAATGTAATGACGGGTTCTTCTTCTTTAACAACCTGTGTACAGGTAGGTTATGTTTCCTTTATGTATACGTGCATGTATTCCATATATGTGTAGGTCTATTTCTACTGATTTGATTTATTTAGCAAAATAATAATTCTTAACTCACCACCCTGCAGATTGAGTGAGTAGGTTTCTGCAATGTTAGGAGTCTCCCAAACACACTGTGAATACTTCTCTTGGCATTAGTACTTGGTAGGTTTCACCAGATACTTATGTTATATTGTCAGTGTGGTTTTACAGTTATAGATGTAATGTTTGTGTTAGAGATTAACATTGAGGATGAAGTTACATCCGCAATAAAAGAACAAACTATTTTACGTCTTGTGGCATGTGTGCTGGAAGTGATAGAAGTTCTGAAGTTTAATGTTGATAATTTCAAAAAAAAAACGGACTTCAGGCATTGTAGCAGTGTGGTGTGTCAGAAGATGGAACTATTTTCAACCATCCATTGATCTAAGTGCCAGTTTATGCTACTACATATTTCTTTGCAAAGCCGTGCAGTCATCCTGCTTATTGTACTCGAGCGGTGCTTACCCACATTAATTAATGATTACTTTAGCTTGATTATGAATAACAATACATTTGCATTAGTTTTTTTTAAAGAAGTTTGAATTTTTTCTCATGTTGTAAAAGATCGTTAGTAAATTTGTCTTTGTCAACTGATCCAGAAGGAGTGGATAATAACTGTGCCTAAGGAATACGTGTATATATCGACTACAAATGTCGATTTATTCCTTGTCCCAAAAAGTAGGAAATGAAGTAAGGTTTGGATTTTTTTGGTTTTTGTTCTAGCTTTGTGCCGAAAACCCGTCCTTTTATAACAAAGTCTAGCAGGTATTAGTGGATAATGTCTTTCGAAAATATTAAGGAATATATTTTCTGCAATAAATATCATGCGATATGTATTGTGAAACGTGCCCACGTTCGCAAACAGCGTGATGATTATGATGTTGGAACTTTTACGAGCGCTTCCGGTGGTGCCGATTTCCCCTTCTGAACAGCATGGCTTCGCTATTTGTATTTTTCCGATGCTTATCCCTAGCATTATTTCCTCCGTCAGCGTGTCCGTCCACGATCCTGATCCCTGACTGTGAAGACGTAGGCAGAGACGGCTGCTTCAAACACTGGTGTAGGAAGTGTGCTCCTGGCTTCTTCATCAGCGGAACAGCCTGTGATGGTAAAATATTTTCTTTCTCCATTCTTGTAAGATTAACGTAAATCTTGAGAAGGGATCCAGATAAGTGTGTTAAGTCCCAAAATCTTTAAGGTGTCTATAGGCTTCCTGTACGGTGCTCAAGGGCAAGTGACACGGCGAGAACTGGAAGCCATGTCCAATCATGTATTAAAGTAATTTATAGAGTGATTAAGTGGGGGAGTTGGGTTTGACGCCGCTTTGAACAGAATTTCAGTTATATTACGGCGCGTTAGCTTAATGTGGGAAGAAGGTCCGAAGTGATATAGGTCTTAGACGTTTACCACTTTGGTAAGACTCACGAGCACGGATATGGTGGTTTCGAACCCTAAATCATAAGTTTCTGGCGTGCCTAAGGGACACAACTCTGCACAGTAAATTGCGGCGCCTTTGACCACTCGTCCACCCGTGCTCCCTGTTCCACAAAGAGCATAAATAAGAAATCTCTGGATCGTTGTGAATTTAGTTCAGTGTTTCTGTTAACATGACTAAAAAATAGATATTTCAAAAGTGAAGAAACAAACCAGCAGCTCGTCAGAAATACCATAATCTCCTTCTTTGACAGTCTGTCCTGTCCCTGATGTGGGCTGTCAGGTAGCAGAGTGTAACTCCTCCTCCTCAGATTCACATTGTGTAAGATGTTTCCATGGTTACCAACTGCAAGGAGGATCATGCCGTATGTATAGCTTCTGCCATTTTTCTATTTTTGCCGGCTATTGTGTTATCAAAATATATATAAAAATAAAATTAAAAACAATAATCTAATATCACTCTGTTTGTTCTTTGTGACAGATCATGTCTCTGGGTTAGGATCAACCCCTAGCAGTCGACTGTGCCTCGCTGCAGTCATCGCTCAACATCTGCTCAGAACTGACTACGGCCTGTAACTACTGCCCTCAGTACTGCAAAATGTGTGACACGTGCACCCACAGCATGCCTGTCATTGGATAATGATGTCTCAAACAAGAGATAACGTTTTTTATTGAATATTGCAACGAATACTTGTGACAGAAAGTAGTAAAGACAAAGTCCAAAACCTTGTTATCTTCATTTAATTATCGTTTAATATTATCCTTCGGGATATAGGGGTGTGTGTGTGAACATGTATGTATGTGCGTGCGTGCGTGCGTGCGTGCGTGCGTGCATGGGTGCATAAAGTTGGATTGTCCGTTGGGTTAATAGCTTCAAGAACTGTCGGGGAAATGGTCACTTATACATAGATCATCATTAACTGACCATTAAAATTAATTTATTAAGTTTGAATCTCTAAAACACAGAACTAATGCAGAATGTGTATTTGAAAATACCAAAATTGTTATCACCCAAAAAATCTTCAAGGACTACCCATTGTTATGCCCTTTTAAATCGCTCAGGACGATGCAAGGCCATAAATGACACTGTGTCTTACCAAGATCGATGATTCCCAGCAATTTGATCACATGGGGGAGAAACTGATTGCTGTGAACTTAATTGACGCAAATCGAGTTTATGAGTTTGTTTGAGATATGTTCCTTGTAGACATGATGCTAACTCATTAGACTTGGTCCTGACACCTCTGCAATTTCAATGAAAAAATTGTGATTCATGCTATTGGAGGTGGGATGCCAGGATCCACTCTTCTTCTACTGTGGCGGGACGGTCGGGTAGACTAGTGGTTAAAGCCGTCGCTCGTCATGCCGAAGACCCGGGTTCGATTCGGGACAAGGGTACAAAGTGTGAAGCCCATTTCTGGTGTCCCCCGCCGGGATATTACTGGAATATTGCTAGAAGCGGCGTGAATCCTTACTCACTCACCCTACAGTGGCGACTTACGAGTACTTCTGTGGCGTCCATGTGGATAATGACGTATTTCCATGTCCTCCAGCAACTGATATATTTGATAACTCTTGTCTGACTTAGGGGACTTATTTCTGTGGCGTCAACGGGGATGATGGGGCATCTTTACCTTACATAATGCACACACACACACACACACACACACACACACACACACACACACACACACACACACACACACACACACACGAATATCAAAGCGTAAATAGTATAATATTTGTTTTACTTAATCTTTATGAAGTTTTTTAATTACCGAAATGACAAAATGGACGGCTTGTCTCAGCTTTCGCTGCCCTACTGGCTGAACGTGATAGTAACGAGTGAGCATATGTTCTGTTTCTCGTATGGATCCTCCACATCAACCGATCACGGGGTGTCCATAAAACCAGGCTGTGAACATGTGAAAGAGACGCGCGTATTGTACTTGTGGATAATTATGATTATCCAGTGAAACTAAGTACCATTGATACTTTACTCCTGCTAAAACATATTGCTTAAAAACTGCTGTGGTTAAATTATTGCTGTTAAATATCTATACAGCAAACTTGCCTTACTACAACTTCAAGGCGTTTGTTAACAAAAACAGCCCAGTCTGGGTCTTGATGAGTGCTGTCCCTTTACCCCGTTCCCGTGTAAGCATCGTACACCACCAGCTTCCAGCATCGTGAATCTTACTGTACGTTATCCATGTATTAATTGTTGTCTTCTTCGTCGCGATTTTGGAAAACGAAAATAACTTTTTTTTTAAAGTGTTGTAATTGGGACAGCGCGCCACCGAACACTGAACCGTGTTCAAAACAGCGGTCTGCGCATCTGAGACGCTAGAATCACACACCTGTACTTACACCACGTGAAACGGGTCCAATAGAGTCTAATGACGTCATTCGTTTATTAACTGGCACCAATGACGCCATATTGCAAGGGACATCAGCCATGGTGTGCTTATTATGCAAATTAAACTCTCAGCGGTGAATATGAAAAATATGAATCGAATTTATGCAAAAAATACATTAGTGACTTGTGATATCTGTATTGTTTTGGCTAGGAAACTACATAGCTTGTAAATACTAGGTACATTTAGTAAATAAGTACAAAAAAATGTTCGTGTGAAATTGCCCTTATTCCAAGATTGTACATGAAAAAGCTCAAGATATTTTGGATCCAAAGACTGAATACAAATATCACGGGCTGTTTGGGGAAATATCTGTATTTCAAACACAGGAGTCCATCTGTTGGTCTACAACACTGGGTCTCAATATATAAATACATAGTAGTATCGCAATAGCTTCTTGGAGGCGATCGTGAGCCATACTGCGGTTCCGAGGGACAAGTCCCGATTAACAGAAAGCATACTGTATTTAACCCTAAGGCGAATCACTGTCAAACTGCCTGGTATGATGTTACCTCCCATGTATGGTCAGCCTGCAGGATCCAGCACTTCATCACGATGTTAAATTTCAGTTGGCAACCGGCATTCTCTATACCGTTAATGACCAGCAGCTGACCTGCACATTACTCTGCGTTGCTGGCCATGATAATAATAACCCAGCTGTTATTTTATTTGAATTGACGACACTGTGAATATTCAGATAAATAGATTTAACTTACTTTAAAACATATGTAAACTCCCTGTTAAAACCCGTATGCCGCCAAAGTGCCTACGATACAAAGAGTAATCCAACGGCCCATTCCAAGACACCCACAAACCTTCACAATTTAATGCTTGGAGTGAAAGGAATTGGCGGAACACGTTTGTGGACGGACCAGAGACCTACTTTCTGTCCGTTTCTATGCATGCTCCAGACGAGACGAGACAGCTACATGGCCGACCTTGCAACGACCAGTGTCAAGTGACTGGGGCCGATACAGTGACAGCAATTGCAGGTCTTCCCTTCCAATATGAGAGCCTCTTTTGGGTTTGGCGTGTCTTGAACAGAGAGGAAAAGATCAGTTACCACAATCATGTTATCATGTAAAATATATCTTCTCACTCAGCTGCAGCTTAAACTTAACAGTTTAGTATATGTTTCACCTTACCTTTTTAGGTTCTAATCATGTTGTATCTATGCATGTTGCAGAATATGCTTAAGAGTTTAGTATATGTTTCACCTTACCTTTTTAGGTTCTAAGCATGTTGTATCTATGCATGTTGTGAATGGTTAAACATGCTATAACTCTGTGCTGCTCACATGTTTTATAATTGATCGCTACCAGCTACGGGTTAACTAGGAACCTGTCAAAATTGACAATACTTGGAAAACAAGCCTGTCATGATGAAATTTCCTGTACTATTACCCTGCTCTATATTGCAATAGGTTCCATATAACAAGTCAACTCATTTAAATTTCATCTGCCCTTGATCATATCCACAGGTACATTTAATAATTTGGCTTGACATACATTCACTGCCAATGTAGTACGGGAGAGTACGGAAACAGTATTTCACGACAAAAGCCCCTATACATGAAAAAGGATGGCTAGTCTTTTCTGTTCTTGAATTATTATATCTTGCTTTGTAGACTCGGTCTCCAGTGACCTATGCATGTATTACGAGTGATTCATGTCAGGCACGGTGACTTGGCTAATTGCGTGTGAATAAGCCCCGACGGATTAGGACGTTGATCGTGATATCAACCACTAGCCCAAACTCGATTATTTAAAAGCGTGTGCAGCATTAACTTACACACAAACACACGAAAATTCTTAAATGTATGTTTTAGTGATATTAACATAGTTATTTGAAGTATTACTGCAATGTTTTGCACCGAATTGTGCATTCCTTTGTTGTATAAATATCTCTGGTTTGTATAGCTATTATTTTACAAATATTCTCTCACACTAGCAATGCTTCCTTTTCTTCACTAGCATGCCTACTGTTTGTTTAACAAGCCAAGCCACAGGAGAAAGCAATAAGTAAATAAAATATTTTATGGCACTTCAAACGCCAACGTGTAAAACTAAGTTGTGTCCCTTAGATGGTACATCGCCAACACCATTCGTCACCACTCGCCTTTTACCGTAACAATAACACGAGTTGGTCATCCGTTCTGCTAGGCCGAAAAATGAAAAATCCCAACATTTTTAAAAATTTAGTGTGTGTGTGTGTGGGGGGGGGGGGGGGGGGGGGGGGGGGGGGGGGGATTCTTGTTGGGGCAAAAATGAAAAAAGAGTTTCTCCCTCATAACTTTTTTTTTTCAGTGAAACAAACTCTTCCCTACCTCCTCCTTTTTGAGAAGTACTCCGTGTTTAGAATTAAAAGTGTAAATAATAGAGTTAAGCAGATTTAGTGGCTGAGAATAGAGCTGTCATTACTGGGTTTTGATGTCATGTAACCAATGGATACTATGGATTAAAATATCACCTGAGCCATTTCACCTGTGGAAGCCAGTTTTCGAGAATATTATACTCAACAAAAAAGAACCATGGGAAGTCGACCGTAATTTATTGCATTAGAAACTTCAATGTAAAGAATATACAGCAATTGTAGAAGCACCACGTTGCAATAAAATGGCAAGTGTTCATGGTCAGTTCATCTGTGACACTCACAGTCCAAACGACGTGCCTTCAAACACATGCACCCTCGGAAGACAAGGTTACATATGAGCGAGAGGGTTGGGTTAACGCCGCTTTTAACAGTATGGTATTCCAGTAATATCACGGCGGGTCGGATAAATGTAGGATGAAAGCCCGAAGTGGTACATGTCTCAGACCTTTACCACTTTTGTAAAACTCACGAGCACGTGAATGATGCTGACAAACCTAGATTCGGGATTCGAACTTACAACCATTCGTTTCTGGCGTGCCCAAGGGACGCAGCTCTGCACATCCTATGGCAGAGCCTTAGACGACTGGGCCACCCGTGTTCCCAAATCACAAGTTACAAATAGTGTCATTCTGAACCTAATCAGTATTGATCCTCCTCTGACGTCTATTCACGCTTGACAACACAGACGATTTCTTATGGTCGGGTCAGAGACATTCATCCTCCTTACCAATATTGCGGAACTCTGCACAGCAGTTGTAACCCTTGGTCCGTCCGTCCGAGGGTGGCCATTGGTTGTTCTAGTGTTCTTAAGGCGGTTAAGAAGGCGGAGAATGGTTGCCCTGGTAACAATGAAACGATGTGCATCTGCACTGACAGAGGCGCCTGCTTCATCCATACCAACAACCGTTAACGTTGCTTATGTAATATTCGTGGCATCTTCTTTTCTGAGTGTCAGATTCCATTCCTTGTGATTTTTATTATTGTTAATACACGTTATCAATTGATCAATCCGAAAGTGTTCATGCGTCATGCGTTTAATGTTTGGCACATTTTTCAGTGCCTTCACATTGTATTCCCCTCAGGACCATAGATGCATGCGTCACGCATGATTTACATGTGCATTGTGCATTGTTGTGATTTTTCATCATTTGAAACACCAGGCGAAATACAGCAATGAAAAAACCAAATTTGAAACTTGCATACTTTCTTATTTTGTTGAGTATATATTTTTTCATTTCAAAATCAGTTGAAATCCACAAATTTAATTCTATCTTTTCCATCCAAGCGAACCATGAATTGCATCCTTCCACAGCCAGACTGTATAACAAACACTTTCCCATCCCTGCAGATGAACGAAACACGTGCATCTTTCCAAGTTTCGGGTGAGTAGTTAGGAACTTTGGATATGCAGGTTTGTATTTGTCGCCTTAAAACTTCTTCAGCTTTGTTGTTTTCTTGCCCTTCATGCCCAACTGTCGCTATCACAAGCTTGCCAAGGGTTCTTTTGTTGATTTCCTTAACTTTTACCTGAGGATTTGGGTGAAAAAGAAAACTGATGTTAAAAGACCATGGCATACGTGCGTGTGCGTTTTTGTGTGCGTGTGTGCCCCTTGTGTGCGTGTTGGCAGTTGGGTGTTTGGGCGTATCAACCCATCATCATTGGAACAATTGAACATTTGACTGATTGGAACAATCCCCGTTTTAACGTTAATTACTAGGGGGCGCCCGTGAACATCTGGGTTAGAACAGGTCTTCAGCAACCATCTTTCGAAATCTCCCCCGTCACGTTAATCGTGTCGGCATTTTGACTTCTTGTACTTGATGTAAATGTATTGAAAAGCGCTGTCGTTGTGACCGACTTACTGAGTTCAACAGGCCTTTCTCATCTGATGGTGATATTGTTTGAACACATGTGTTGTTTTAGATGTTTCTGAAGAGCAATTTGTGCAAACATACGTTCATGTCACCTGTCTGGATAAGGAACTATTTTATTCCGCGATACAGCTGGTTGTTGTATGTCTGTCAGTGTAAACATGAAGTCACACGTGCAATATAAAATAATGTATAGATCTGGGCCTCCGACGTTCATACAGCTGGGCCCTCACTCTATGAAGGTTTATACTTCAATGAACTCACACAACGTGAAAGTCAATTCTTAAATGAAGGATGGTGAAGGTGAGATACAGTTTGTGTCAAGAAATACAAGTTCTTTACTTACAAACAAGTCCACAGAACTTTCGTCAAATTCAGGCACGACGCGTCTCTGAAGAACAGAATGGTTCATGAGTTATTATTTGAGTTTAGTGTTAATGCTTTGTTCCAGTACATGACCACCGTAATATGTAATATGTTACAGTATTATGTGAGTTTACACTTGTCACTTGTCATGTCACAAATGAGTTTACGGCGGTCATGACACTAACATTAAGCTCACCTGACTTATTAATCTTACACCACATCTTCGCAGATTATTTGCATCCATCCAGCAGTTGGCTGACACATGATAAACAAAACCACCCTTTTTTTAACAAAATTGTAGCCTGTCAACAGTGTCACGTATGGCCTGCTGGTTTTGAACACTATTTTCTGTTCTTTTTAACGGCCCCGTGATAAACATATCTTATCCTTAAAATCTTAGGACGTACTTCAATTAGGACATGTCCTCATCAACAAATCAGTTAAGATAAAAATGGATTTATGTTTCATGGTCCGACTGCAGCGTGACATTGATCGTCTGCCACGACGGTTGCTCCATGTAGGGCAGGACAAGGGTATCCGGTACACCTACATGCAAACCGTGCCATCAGTGTAACTTTTCAGTAATTTGCAGGGAAGATTAATTAATTAATTTGGACCCAAGGGGGTTTTCGGTTAGAATTGCTACCCGACGGGGTTGATCGTTGCTCAGAATATCAATCAGTGGATTGTCTGCCCCAGACTCTATTTTCAAACCCGCCGACGTCACAGAGCTGGAATATTGTCGAGTACGACGTTTAACAAACTAGCCAAACAAGCTCAACATGCAAATGCGCCACAGACATGTATATGGGTGTGTTTCATTTGTTGAACAAAGAATCGGTAACTTACAGTGAAAAAGTAGCCATACATTCGTTCCCATCCGCGTATGATCTGGAAAAAGAAAACACATTACAAACCACTCTGTTTGTCCCCAAAAAGAAACTGTTATGTGCATAATGTGTAAAAACCCAATATTGTGTTCATATTTGATCGATTCTCCTCATTCCTAATCCATATTTTCTTTTGGGGTATTATGCAAATGTATATGCTTAACATTGTAGTTTACCTACGCAAACGGGCCATGTGAGCGTTTGGCGAAAGAGGTTACCCTTCATAAATATTTCCTATATTCACCAAGGATTATACCAAGGAGGTTTGACCGAGTGAGTGAGTGAGTGTATGGTTTTACGCCGCTTTTAGCAATATTCCAGCAATATCACGGCGGGGGGCACCAGAAATCGGCTTCACAAATTGCACCCATATCGGAAGTCGAACTCGGGTCTTCGGCGTGACGAGCAAACGCTTTAACCACTAGGCTACCCGACCGCCCCGGTTTGATCGAGTACATTGTGGAAAAAGGTGAATGATAGTGTACATTTGTTAATAGAAACTAAGAAGAGTTACAACAAACAATACATAAAATACATAACAATTTATGTTTTATACGTCCGTCACCATTTTACCAGATTGTTTTGAAATGTCAGAGGCCAGTTAGTCTCATACTCATAGAAGCGACGACACTTCGATAAAGATACTCAACTAATTATTATCCAGTAATATAACTGCTGTCATAATATAGGCAATGATACAAACCTGGTCCCACATTTCAACATGTATACGGGCAGATACTTCCCTTTTGTAGAGGCCACTTCACTCGAAGTTGAATGCCTTCTAACACCGCAGTACAATACGACCATCCAGGTTCAATTCACTACGCTACCAAGGCGGGTATACACGATATGTCACTGTCGATTACACCGCCTACGCAAGAGTAACGCCACACCCACAGAAGAGATGACTCGTAATTCACTTTCCTACCCAGAATTCCATGCGGCCGGAAGCCAACCAGCACAGTACCTCTGCCACAGGCCAGCGTCATGTGATGATTCGTCACATCTTACACAGTCCATTCAAGATATTGAATATGCTTTAATTTTCATCCGTTTCATGTTTGACAAATCTACACATTTTCATAAACAAATGGGGGACACGGGTGGCCCGGTCGTCTAAGGCGCCGCGTTTCGCTGTGCAGAGTTGCGTCCCTTGGGCACGCCAGAAACCTATGATTGTGAGTTCGAATCCCGGTTCGCCCCGATTATGTTTGTAGGTTTGTCAGCACCATACCCGTGCTCGTGGGTTTCACCGAAGTGGTAAACGTCAGAGATCTGCATCACTTCGGGCTTTCCTCCCACATTAAGCAGACACGCCGTGATGTAACTGGAATACTGTTAAAAGCGGCGTTAAACCCAACTCACTCACTCATAAACAAATGTCAAAGAATGGTTACGGTTCATTATGAAAGTATGCTAATACGTATGGAATACGTGAAAATCTACTTGTTTTTGCGTAGTTATCCTTTGTTTACATTGGTTGCACGGCTCCACGTGCTGTCATCAAAGCCCAACGGAGAGCTAGCGATACGGTCACTATGATGCATAATCATATATTGTCATGCAACTCACTGTCGCAATTGTAGTAGAATATCTATAAAATTATGCAAAACAATATGTAAAGCGCCCCCAAATACTTGCATTAGTCCGTTCTATACTGATTTCTGAAAAAGCGCGTTTGTTTACAATCAAGAGATAGGTCCGGTCACGTGATATGCAAATTAGCCTGTGGCAGTGGTGTTATGCTGAGTCACCACTGCGCCGGAGTGTGCTTGCAAAAAAGCGGGATTGAATACACACACGTTACAGACGGATTACATTAAGTTGCATTGACCAAGATAAACCAACTGAAGCTTAAGGATTTATTATTAAAAGTAAGCAATTTAAACTGAGCTAAAGTATTAATGCTTTAAGAAGACACTTAAAGGTTGGACATAGCGTGAGAACGCCAAACAGGCGAATATACACAAGCTAGCAGCACTGATAGTACCTAGTTTGATCTAATGCACAGCTGACCAGATCCCGACTACACAGAGGATAATACAAATCTGGACAGGTATAGGTTGCTACGATGCCAGTCTAAATAGTGAGTGAGTGAGTTTGGTTTTACGCCGAATTAAGCACTATTCCAGCAATATCACGGCTGAGGACGCCAGAAATGGGCTTCACAAATTGTATCCATGTCGGGATTCGAACCCGGGTCTTCGACGTGACGAGCGAACGCTTTAACCACTAGGCTAACCGACCGCCCCAGTCTAAATAGAGGATCAAACTACCTGCTAAGTAGCCAGCTTCTGCATGCTCAGCTTGACAGCGACTCTGGTCTTTAGACTTCAAACCAACGCTGCTGTACGAACTCATATTCGCTGAGTAGATTTATCAATAAGAAAATAAACGAGACGGGCGACAAAGCGCGGACGTCGTTCACATCACGCCAGTCAAGGCTATTAAGTGTGTTTTTCTGCCAAACTATATTCCGATACTACTGATTAGCATTTAAACTAAGGTACGTGATAGGACCATCATGTTAAGGTGTATTAAATGCAATAAAGGTCCAAGTGGTTATAACTAAAACCCACAGGGAATTCAACGTTTAATATACATAAGCAATAACAATACAAGGATGTGGTCCCTCAACTGGGAACCTTGTCACAGGGTGTCACATCACCTTGCACCAAACGTACCAGCGTTGACGTCAACGGGCACAAATAACTGTCATTACTGTCACATATTTCCAATCTGGATGAGGCGGTGTATGAGCCTGGTCGTGAAAGCTTTCGTTCATGGCGAGTTTGATTTCCCATATGGTGAAAGACCAATTTGGGTGTCTCCCACCTAGATATTGCTGGAATATTGCTGAAGGCGACGCAAAACTATGCTCCCCCACGCATATTGATGGCAATTGCGTGTGATGTTTCCATTTAACATTACAAGAGACAATACAAGTGCAATACAGCATGACAGCAGCCTCCAGAAGCAAGGCTACCTGTAACTCTTTGGAAATACCCAATAGCGAATTCAAAGCATACGACCTCGAAAGCACATGCACCGAACGACATTGATATGGTGTCAAAGGAAGACATTGAAAGCGTCAAAGCGTGTCTGTCTGACAAAATACACTTGAACCAGAGTTAAAATGATCTTATATTCAGGTCGTGAGAAACCTGTTTTGGCTTCCCCTGGTTGTATGTACTTAGTAAGGATTTCGAAGTGGAATGAGTTGCCCCTTTGGTGTTTCTTTAATGTAACAAAATAGAGTAAAGGATCTACAGTGATTAAATCAGATCCAAATGTTTCAGCTTCTATTTGGAAATCTTCTATTTCATTACACACGGACACCGCCCACGTAATGTAATACTACCGGGGAAACCCCAAATCACATTCATCCAATCAGTATACAGCTAGGCACAAACAACCGGTTAACCTACATGTTGACGTTCGACTGGTGCAACGTTGACATTGGCAGTTATTGTTGGTGTCCTGTAAGGACTAAATACAGAAAATAACGAATATCTAATACATAATCCCTCTGGTACAACGTAAAATGGTTCTTGTAATAACTTTGGTAGAAGGACAGACCCGTGAAGAAGCGGGGTAGAATAGGTCTTCAGCAACCCATGCTTGCCGTAAAAGGCGACTATGCTTGTCGTAAGAGGCGACTAACGGGATCGGGTGATCCGGCTCGCTGCCTTGGTTGATGCATCGTATCCCAATTGCGTGGATCGATGCTTATGATATCAATCAGTGGATTGTCTGGTCCAGACTCGATTATTTACAGACCGACGTCATATAGCTGGAATATTGCTGAGTGCGGCGTTAAACAACAAACAAAGTTAACAAACAAACAAATAAACAAAATTAAACGGTAGAATAGATGAACTGATGAATAGTATCGCTCGTGTTCGTGATTTCGCGCAATATAGTAATGGTCGCCACTGGGCTATGTCATAATGGATTAATGCAGCTGATCATATTTGAATCTGTGTAAATATCTGAAACTATGCCTTACTTATCAGACTGCAATTACCAAAATCAGTCTTAATCCGTAGTATCTACACTGACGGGCAAAATAAAGTGTACACTTGAAAACTGGATGTGACAATAATATTATCAACGTTATCAAAACGTTACTTGGCTGAAAACAATCGTCGAAACTGCAAATTTAAGGTCCAAAATACATCACCATAGCATACCATTTCCTGTTTCTTTCATTTCAGCCACAATCAAATATGGTTGTAAACTTTTTTGGCCTGGCAGTATATTAACAAACAAGGTTATTTTCTCACTATACATAAAGTCATTATATATGTCATTATATATGTCATGTAAATAATAAGTAAGGACTAAATCTATTGCGCAATCCAAGTAGTTTTCTTCGCAAGCATATGCCGGTCTAACACACAACAGGTTTACAAACAGTTTCAAGGAGTAATCAAATGGGAATGAAATGATACAAACCCGGTCGCACATTCCAACTTTTAGGTATTGAGCGTGACTTTTGTAGAGGCGGCTTTGGTACAAGCGGAACGCTTGCCACGTTGCAGTACAATAAATCATCTATTAAATAACCTTCACCGAGATTCGCGATCACGTGCTACACATTTCATTCAACTGTGTTCCTGTAAGGTACGGTTCCTACATTGAAGGCATTAACGTTTGGCCTTTGCACCTATTGGAATGACGTTTGCAGACACAGTGTTGGAAGTTTTCTGTCATGGGAGTGGTAAGTTTTAGTTACTTATCATTTGATGACATACCCGCCTTAACACAGCCATTTCGTGACACAACTAATCATTGAATTTATTGCTAGGGAACGTAAGCTTACAACTCGAAACCAACAACTACTGATGTCATGTAACGATTTTCCTCATTTCTGTTAAGTAGATTTTCTCGATTAGGTATTGTGCATCATTTGAAAGGGACTTACACACTGACAGAGAAAACAGTTACTCATTTTCATGTACCTATATTCTTTGGCCTTCGCAATGTAAGTACTGTATCTCACTGAAAAATATACGTTTGACAAAACTCATTATCAAAACATATTATCAATGTGTACACTTGATTTACGAAAACTTATTTTTTCAATCATAAAAATCATAGAATTTATTGTATGGGAAGATGTACATTTTTGGAAAACCATGTACCACAATTGTATTGACATGACATGTATATATAAATGCTGTACCTGCTGAGATGAATAAAGAGGGGGAATTTAAAAAAAATAAATTCAGTCATGACTAATATTGTTACTACTGAAACCATGTGGTCATGTCATTTAGAACACGTGATATGTTTATGTATGAACGTACGAAAGTTACGAACGTATTATTTGTACCAGTTGCAGAAGCTTTTGAACCTTTGCATAATTGGTAAATAATTTATTATGATACTCTCTGAAACGTAGCAAAGAACCTTTGGCCCATCTGCAATTGTTTTCTAGGTTAACAAGTGTCTTTGCATGTGCTTGTGAAGCAGGGATACACTCATTTCTTTCTCGAACACCTGGTTCCATCACAATTTGATAGTGATTCATAAACTCATGCTCATGATATAGTCGAAATCGTACAGTGGACTTGGGTTTTTGTAGAGATTTATTGTGATTATGAGAAGCTTTTGTCGCTTTATAGTTAGAATAGTATGATATTTATCGTCTATATCTCCAGTTGTCAAATAGGGATGATACCAGGTGTTCGTGAAAAGGAGTGCGTATCCTGCTCATTGGTGGCACCCATCACAAACACATGCAAAGGCAACTCAGTTGTTCATCTGAGAAGGCATGCGAACAGATTGTACATGTTAAAATAGAAAATAGAGAATTGCATTTGACATCACTTTTGTGGAGTTGAATGACTATTTGACTATAAATGAACGATATCAGATACCCATACACCTGAAGCTTCAGTAAAACATCTTTGGCCAAATGTCCTTGTTTTGGTTTCGTCAATCCGAGCAGAAATCATACCGAAAGATATCAGATGAGTTAATGAGGTCAGATTATAACCCCGGGTGACAAGTACAGTATGAATTTCCAAATATATCTCATGCTTGAATGAACTTGATGACCATTCCTTTAACAAAATATTTCTGTCAATACAAATGTACGCTGCTGGTTTTTGTTCGTGTTCTCACATACTCTTGTTCTTGTTTGTTTTAGGCCAACAGTTCGAATTCTTCTAATGTACAGGTAAGATTTGTAAGGTATTATTTTGTGTCTGACATACAACCCCATACATATTTCGTTCTTACCCTTTGTTTTACTCAGTGATATACCCCGAGGAGACTCCGGGTTAGAATTGGGCCCCAGCAACCTGTGCTTGTCGTAAGCGGAGACCTAACTGATCGGGTGGTCAGACTCGTTGACTTCGTTGACATTATGTCAGCATGCCCCTATGACGTGGACCATTGCTCATAATATCAGTCACTGGTTTTCTGAATGCAAACTGTCATCGAATCTCAGTTGCATGGATCGATTCTCATGATATCAATCACTGGATTGTCTGGTCCAGAGTCGATTATGTAAAAACCGCCGTCACATAGCTGTAATATTGCTGAGTGTGACGTAATACAATAAACACACACACACACACACACTTCTACATAAAAGCCCTCTTCGTTCTATTATAACGAGTAATTGTGGCAAAACATGCTATGAAGACTGTGTGTAAACATCACAAAGTAAACACCAATAAAGTATTATCTTTATCTTCATTAAAATAACAAATTGGATTACTCTCTACCAAGTAAACGCACCCCTGTACAAACAAATATATACATTAAATTCCTTAACAAATAAATTGACCCATGAAGATCCGGGTTTGAATAGGTCTTCAGCATTGAGCGGCCTTAAACAACAAACACATTCGGTAAATTATTTTTTATTGTTGTGAGATGAGATGTTATCAGCATTCATGTGAAGGGGTGTAAACCACCTTTGAATGTTTGTTTTTCAAAATTACAATAACAATCCTGTTTGTTCCTGGTCAACTTTTGTTAATTTTTGTTTCAGGACAACAGTTCCAAACCTTCTGCAGGCCAGGTAAGATTTGTCTAGGTTCAGCGGGGCGGTCGGGTAGCCTAATGGTTAAAGCGTTCGCTCGTCACGCCGAAGACCCGGGTTCGATTCCTGACATGGGTACAATGTGTGAAGCCCATTTCTCGTGTCCTCTGCCGTGATATTGCTGGAATATTGCTAACAGCGGCGTAAAACCATACTCACTCACTCTAGGTTCAGCAGTTCCGTCTGGATCAGAAGTGTTTTTCGTTTCCTAATCAGCGGCAAAATGTATGTTATTCTTTATGTTTAAGACAGGTTTAGGTGAGTTGTTTGATTATCAGTGGGCTTCACACAGGGTTACTGTCTTAGTCCACTACCCTTTCTAGACCAGTAAATTACAAACTATTAATGACATACATGTATCATTACTTAGAATGCTATTGAACCATATTCTGAAATCTAAGTTCTATTATTCTTATAGCTGGAATACTGCTGATTGCGGCGTCAAAAATAAATAAATTAATACTTAATGCAATGTTTATTTATATTATCACATACAAGATGCTAACGGATAAGGTAATTCTCCTAATACCCAATGGTCTATCTATACATTCTTATGCTTAATAACAGTTTATACACTGCAAATACCGCACCCAGGTCTACCGCATACTCACACACAAGTATGTTAAAACAAGTTTACTGTGCTCGTGACTGTTCCTGACTGTTAATACGTTCTGATCCATGATGTTTCTTTCAGACCACCGAACCGCCTTTTAACGGAAAGGTAAATATAAAACGTCGACGCCAGAGAAAAACCAGTCTCGAATACTAGTATCTGCCGAGACAGATTCAATTGGCAAAATAGAAGGGAAACTTTTATGAATGGATCACTGTAAATTAGTGATGAAAATTTACGATGACACCTGCGGAATATCTAATGTATGAATATAATATTTATATATATAAAATGTAACGGTCAGGTGTGGCACAGCTATTTCAGAGAAACGTGCCGGGAACTGAGTAGGATTAGATAAACAAATATTTTGTCAACATGACACGTAACGGTACGATGCCCCAAATTCAGCTCAGAGCTGACAATGCCCATTGTGAACAGCTGATGGCTTTTTATTAGGGAATGAAAGTCTATGTAACTAAAGTGATGAAACTTTAATGACAATGTGTTTACTTTGCTTGGTGTTACTTTTAAACATTCATCTGTTAAATCTGTGCAGAGTTGCTCCCCATGGACACGGCAGAAACCCATGATCGTGGGTTCGAATCCCTGTTCGCCCCGAATATGTTTCTGGGTTTGTTAGCACCATACCCGTGCTGTGGGTTTCACCAAAGTGGTACACTTCTGAGACCTGCATCGCTTTGAGTTTTCCTCCCACATTGAGCCGACACAATACTGTTCAAATCGGCGTTAAACTCAACTCACTCACTCAGTCTTGGTTTCGTTCTGTTGCAAATATTGTGCTTTTGATATTTCTAGGTAATCAAGTGCGGAATCATTGTTCGACACAGCGACGTGAGCAAATTCATATCTGAAAACGATGAGTCTTTGTCAGATGAAGACAGGCGAGTGTTACAAGGATGCTTCGACCTCTTTGAATCAAAGCCAGAATTTGTATGGCGGCATTGCGCAATCGAAGTGATGTGTCCATCCCTAAATGTCAAGTTTATGGCTGGGAATGAGACTAACAGATACATTGTACGCATCAAGAACGGAGAGGTGGTGACCCCCAATATGAGTAAAAGCCATCGTGCCCGAGCCCATGACGGTTTTCTGTGGATCTGGACCCATGCAAGGGATTCCTTCTCACGTGTCCGTAATCTGGCCATTGAATATGTGTCCAAGAATACAAATGAAGAGGAAACTTGATATCATAATGACTTTTTAACATTGGTATTCGTTTCAGTACCAAAACTACGCAATTTCGTGCTCACACAACTCTACTGTGGATAACTTGTAACGTGTATTCTTTGTTTTGTATGAAGACGATTAAGAGAAAATATATGAAACTATATTTTATTTAAGAATGTTGTGTTTGCAATGTTTAGTAATAAATAATTGAAGCTATGCATTCAATTCACGTTTACGTCTGGTTTGTCTCCATTCTTTTCTTTTTCACAACACTTTTGTCATGATAAGGCGGGGGTAGTCTGAACGTTTAAACCGTTTGTTCGTCACGCCGGATTGGTACAGTGTATGAAGCCTATTTCCGGTGTCCCTCCGCCGTAATATTGCTGAAATAAAGCTAAAAGTGCCGTTGTTATATCCCCGGCAGATACACATGTGCGTCTTAGACGGAAAGTAACAAGGTCTTGTTTGTAACTCCCATACAGTCGTGACTCCCATACTTTAACATAGGCTTTCGATAGTCATAGAATTAAGATAGATTTGTGGATAGGGGCCCTGGAAACTAAGCAGCCAAATTACCCGAGTATTCATTGTATTGCCGGACTTTGTCGATGTGACAAATTCAAAACGTCAAAGAAAGAGAATAATACCTGCCGAAACAGATTTCTATAGGACTTCAAACAAATTACGATTTGGAATATGTGTTTGAGTTGTGAATATAGAATTCAGTGACCAATATAAATAGGCTTTGACACTATTCAACATGAATTTATGCAGGATGTCGGTCGTTGTCAGTGCGAATGCGTGAATCGTCAAAGAAAGATTTATGTTGCACAAAGGTACTATACTGCGTTGGACATTTTCGTTGAAGCCGAAATGTTAGCCAAGTGACAAAATATATACGCATATTTTAGAGACCCGTGACCGATCGGCAAGGGAGCAATCTTTTGTACAGGTAAAATGTATGTGTTGCAATACACGCTATGTTTGATGTTGGGCGTTTTCTTTTCTGCGAATATAGGTTTTGTGTTAGCTATCTTAATGTAACTCACAGATGGTATGTCTTATTCGACAGATTGTTTGAATTGGTTGGCACTTAAAGCGACAAATACTCTCTGGTTATCTATCTATCTATCTGAAGATATTATTGACTGTATTCCAAACACTGGCTTTCAAAACGAACCACCTTTTAAAGACACAAAGGGAAAACCAAAATGTGTATTGAATGAAATTTTGCAAAGGGAGGGATCCAAAATATCAAAATCCTCTCGTAGTGGATGCGCCTATGTAGTTAACACTGTGTTTGTGTGTTGTGTAACGCGGCACTCAGTAATATTACGCCTATGTGACGGAGATCTGTAAATAATCTAGTCTAGACCAGACAATGACGTGCTTGATATCATGAGCATTGATCCACGTAATTGAGATACGATGACATACAATGAACCAAGTCTCCAAGCCCGAACACCCCATGCATTTACTCGCCTCTTACAACAGCAGAGATTGCCGGGGGCCTGTTCCTCCCCGGAATCCCCCCTGGTGTGACCAATAATTCTTCCCTCAATGTTGGGGAACACCTTTATTTGCATAACGGATTTGACCGACCGGAACAAATCCACAAATAATAGATAAGATGAATTGTTTAAATTAATATATTTGTTCGACCGCTCTTTCTTCGATGGCGTTTCAAGAAAAAAAGGTGCTATAAAACACAATTAAAATTATTTTATTTACTTTTGTATACCGACATGATTAATGAAATGCATTTTTAGGTATTTTTTCTCAGTATTTACTTACAGACGTAGATATACTTCTTGCTCGAAAAGTATTAGTCATCCTGCACTTTTATCCGAATATAAGATTTATTCTTATTGTACTGATCGACCAAGAACATGTATTTTTTCATTTCGACCTGACCAACGTAATTGTTAGTTAGGGGTGGTGGGATAGCCCAGTGATTAAATAGTTCACATATCAGGCCGAATTCCCCACATGAAACCCTATTTCTTGTGTCCCCCGCCGTGTTGTTGCTGGAATATTGCGAAAGGCGGCGTTAAGCCATGCTCACTCACTATTAATTAGCTGGAACATGAACCATAAAATCATACGTGCGTGGCCTCATTACCTGTCTTGGATACCGGGAAGGGGCTTATGCAGGATCAGTGCGTGCAGACCTCTTGTGCCAACAAGAAAGTCGTAATACAACTGACATTGACAGATAATGGTCAAAGAATGTTCAGTGTTCAGTGTTCGTATACATATCCCTTTATGAGAAAGTAGTCCACAACCGAAGTTTGAGTTTGCATATGAAAGAAGTTTGCCGAGGGCCGCGGAGCGGTCCGACATTCAAGATATGGTCTTCCATCACAGCCGATGACAACACCTTCATAAATCCTGTGCAGATTGTTGTGACGATTACCCCTCGTATGTTCATGAGATTTTGAAACTGTGCTTGCAGTGGGTTTGTGACCTTAAAGTTTATATAGGTACACTCTATAGTAATTTTCCTATCGATACACGTACCTGTCATACTTTTATTACAATAACAGAAGGACAAAACAGCTCGGGGAACCGCTCACTTAATGTTTTAACGCTAGCGGACTCGACATGGGCTTATATGCGTTGGATTTCTATAATTCGTTTAAAATTAATAATGACAGGTGCGTGTATCGATAGGAAATGTATGAGGGGGGGGGGGGATAATTTTCTAGGATAAAATATGACCAACACAATTTGAAGCAGCAATAACAATTGTATTGTAGAAATTCATCATTCAGAACAGTAAAATGCGAATTTACTAATTCAACAACAAAGTCCTTGACCTCCAACAGGGACATTTCTTGACAAGGGGTCATTCGTCCAGTATTCGATCAACAACATTGGTTACAAGTTTAAGGTGACGACGGCCCAGACCGTTTAATACGGGTAATGACCTCCATGAGCGGCAATGCATCTTCGAATGCGGCGTCGAACTGAGTAGACAAGCGTCCTCACATCGACTGCAGGTATCCGAATCCATTTCTCACGGAGGGCAACGATCAACGCTTGTCTCGTGAAGGGAGGATGTTGACGTTTCCGAAGACGACGCCCCAGCTGGCCCCAGAGATGTTCTATGGGTGACAGATCTGGTGATCGAGTTGGCCACGGTAGGACAGTCACGTTGTTGGCGTTGAGGAAGATTCTAGTAATACGGGCTGTATGGGGTGTGGCGTTATATTGTTGGAACACCGTCAGTTGTTGACGCTGGATGAAAGGAAGAACCACTGGCCGTAAGATATTGTCAATGTAGCGTTGTGCTGTCAGATTGCCTTCGATGATGACAAGTTCCGTCTTCTCGTCCCCGCAAATGCCGCCCCAGACCATCACACTTCCGCCCCCGTAAGGTTCCACCTCCTGGACACAACAAGGAGCCGTACGTTCACCACGTCGTCGATAAACTCGCGTCCGCCCATCAGGTTTGAAGAGTTGGAACCTTCTCTCGTCACTAAACAGCACTCGCCGCCATTCCCTTTGTTGCCATCGCTGAGTTTGCCTGCGCCACGTCAATCTGGCACGTCGATGTTGACGGGTCAAGGTCATTCCCTTGATAGGGCGATAAGCCCGAAGACCATAATGTCGTAGTCGTCTGGTCACTGTTTGTCTGCTGACCGAATGACCTTAGCTGTTGGCAGCTGATGACGTCACAGTAAGACATCTGTTCCTCAGATGAAGTACCCATAAAAAGGTCATCCTGCGGGGTCGTGACCTTTGGTCTGCCACTCCGTGGTCTGTCTGCGGTTCTGCCAGTCTGTCGGAGACGTGCGACCAGTCTGGTAATGGTCATCTTGGAGCAGTTCATGTTAATGGCAACCGCTCTCTGTGTCTCTCCCATCTGCAGCATACCTATGGCTCTCTCCCTCTGGACAGCGGTCAGTCGTTGCATGTTCGTTGGTGTTTATCATCGCAACCAATGATAGGGAACAGATCCGTGCGTAATTTATACCCGGAAATTGCACGATAATTTGGGAAAGAATGTTTTAAAAAATTGCTGAAAAACACCAATATCTCCCAAAATCCGCAAAGCAGGTGCAAAGAACGACAGAGAACATGAAGGCTGTATTCGTGAGATGTGTTCATTACTGTTTTTGAACAGGTTGGCATCTTTGTTTGGCCCTGAGCATATTATAACAACGTCGCCATTGAAGCAAATAGGGGGTGTTCGCCGTCGGGGCATCCAGTATGTTTTGTGTAAGGAATGCTATATGTAGCCCAATGCATTTGTGTCCCATTAGGCATTATTTCAATACACTTCATGACATATTTAGTCTTTGGAACATCCATATCTATGGAAAGGTGAACAGGTATGAAAGGTAGACTATAAAAATAGAACATGTGCTGTTTACAGCCAAAGGTTATGCAACGAAAGAGACGACACAACCTTTGCCAATGTCCGTCATTACAAACAGGGTACAGTGGAAAAGTAATTAACTGAGATAGAGTAAACATTCACGCTCATAGTTTCACGTGTACTTAATCAGAGCGAGAAATAATAATTATAATAATAATAAGAATAAGAATAATATCAGACAATAGATCCCACCACCTTCGCTCTTCCTTCAATCGCTTATATTAACCAATCATAATGGGAGGGCGTGGTTTAATTAACGTGGAGGCCTTTTATTTGCATTGTGTACTTATGCACATATTTATTTGTCTGATGATCCTCTTGTGAAGCATGTCAAGACTAATGGAGAAAACAAGGCATTCCACAGTTTCTTAAACGAACCAAGTATGTGGGACATAATCTCAATGTTAGTGTTGATTTTGTGGATGGTTCTGTACTGCTGGACGGTGTCAACCAAGTGAAGTGCCATATCAAATCGGCGCAGTCTCAGCTTTTCAAGGAGAGGCTATCTGAACGACCACTGTATCGAGTTTTTGTGCAATGTGTTGTGAGGATCAGCAAGCCTGCATAGTTCTTCGCTTGGATGAAATCGGCTGGCCTGAATGTGAAACTGAAGGCTTTCTGTTTGCTGCTCAGGACCAGTCACTCCCCACTCGAAACCGTCAATGTGTGATTTTGCATCAAAATGTAAATATGAAATGTCCAGCACATTGTCAGTGGATGCCCAACTTTGGCACCGTATCTTGAGCGACATGATGGAGTAGCTCTATCATTTTATTACCGTCTGTGGTTTTGACACGGAGGTCCATCTATTACGACCCAGAATATGTAGAGGGCGTGATGGAAAATCATAAACGCTAAATTCTTTGGAACAGGCCCATATACAGCCTCAGACCTATCCAGGCCAACAAACCTGATCTTGTCCTTTTTGATAAATCAAATGAAATCATTTATATTATTAAAATTTTCTGTCCCTTTTTTGATTGACAAGATTCGGGAAAAAACATGGCAATTGTGCGAACCTCGCTTTCGAAATTTCACGCTTGCATCCGCTTGCTTGTAAGTTGTCTGACTCCCCATTGTTCTCGGTGCACTCACTTTGACACTGTTGACTGACATTGGGAGAGTAAACGGGTTTGCTACCAGGAATACAGCCCTTCTGACAACCTGGGTAAAGCAGCCGGCTGCAGGTTTGGGGAGTCTTCACATTCTCCGAAAAGTTCTTTGTGGGATTGACTAGGCAGCGCTTCAGGGAGAAGTCCCATTCGCTGTCTGGGCTGCGTGTAGAGGGGGCAAGGGCCCTGAGCTGATGATGAGCCTATGACTGTGCCAGGATCACCCAAACCCTCTTTCCTGCATTTTATATTTTGATCTGTAAATAATGATAATAAGAACAACAACAACAACAACAATAATAATAATAATAAAAAAATCATAATAATGATGTGTATTTTAACATACATATAACTATTATAAACTAGTAATAACAACGACAATAATTATGTATATATATTGATACTAACAATTATGGAATACTTTTTGCACTCATACTAATGCATTATACACTCTTCAAAAAAAGAAACGCATAGGTATTTTGAGAATTCCCCAGTAATCGTCATAAGGACAATTCTTATATTTGATTCCCGTTAATCATGTCATGTTTGTTGTGCATTGCGCGCAGACACATCTCAAAATGTTGTTTGTAAAGTTTTAACGTTTATCAGCAAAAATGGAAAGCATGCAGGGAAATTGCTTTCAGAAAAAGTTTTCAGCACAATGCACGTGCAAAGTGTTGGAAACAAGAGTAGAGACACTGACTATAAAAGACCGTACAAAATTCATCAGTTCAATACGAATTTTCTGACGTGAACGGAGATCGAAAAATGCCAAGAATAACTGCAGCTGACCGAAATATCGCCATTGGACGTTTGGAAGCAGGGGAGGCCAAGTCCACCGTTGCAAGACACTTCAACGTTCACCAAAGCACCATATCTCGACTATGGGATCGATATACCCGCACTAATTCGACTCAAGATCATCCCAGAAGTGGAAGACCAAGAGTGACCACCCCTGCTCGGGATCGGTACATCCGGTTGCATCACCTTCGGAATCGATTTGCTACAGCAACGGACACTGCAGGACAAGTGCCTGGTATGCGAAGAATTTCCGACCAAACCATCAAAAATCGTCTGAGGGAAGTGGGAATTTGAGCGAGACGACCAAAAGTTGGACCAGTTTTGCGACGTCTACACCGTCAACGACGTGTCCGGTGGTGCAACAGAGTACAGGCACGGGATCTCAGGAATTGGCGACGTGCTTGGTTCAGTGATGAGTCACGTTTTCTTCTTCAACGACGGGATGGAAGACAACGTGTATACCGACGTCGACATGAACGTTTTGCGCCGAACTGCGTTCGACAGGTGGACCGATTTGGTGGAGGGAGTGTCGTGGTGTGGGGAGCCATATCCTACAAGGGTAGATCACAGTTAGTGGTTGTCCAGGGCAATCTTACACAAACCGATACATAAACCCGAATTCTGCGACCTCACCTCCTCCCAACTTTGGACCGCCAGAGGGAGCTGTTCCAACATGACAACGCTCGGCCCCTGACAACACGTGCAACAGTTAATTTCCTTGTTAATGAGAACATCAATGTCCTTCCAAGGCCGTCCAAATTGCCTGATCTCAACCCGATTGAACATTATCGAACTTTATCGACGCGTCCGTCAACGTCACCAGCGTCCCCACACACTGGCTCAACTCGCCAACGCCTTGCAGGAGGAATGGCGAAGAATTCCCCACGAAAAAAAACGGACGACTTGTGCAATCTGAGCCAAGGAGGTGTCGAGCACTGACGGCTGCAAGAGGTGGTGTGACCAGGTACTGACCATGGCGCCCCCTTGTGGCTACACATGTGCAATGACTGAACTGAATTAATGCTGACAATGACGACAATGCTTTTGTCGATCACTGTGTCTAATTTCATTTGATTGTGTTCACGCATATTCTGTGTAGATACTTTTACATCCGCTTAATAAATATCCTTATTTTTTAACTATGCGTTTCTTCTTTTGAAGAGTGTATTATTAATTTTAGTTTTGATACCATAGCCATGTCATAAATAAAAAAATAAAATAATTGCTATGTAGAGCGTTGATTGCTCTATCAGGCATGAACATTCGTCATACCCCAGATTCAGCCCTGATCCCTCTGTCATACCCCACAGTCAGCCCTGATCCCTCTGTCATACCCCACAGTCAGCCCTGATCCCTCTGTCATACCCCACAGTCAGCCCTGATCCCTCTGTCATACCCCACAGTCAGCCCTGATCCCTCCATCATACCCCACAGTCAGCCCTGATCCCTCCATCATACCCCACAGTCAGCCCTGATCCCTCTGCCATACCCCACAGTCAGCCCTGATCCCTCCATCATACCCCACAGTCAGCCCTGATCCCTCCATCATACCCCACAGTCAGCCCTGATCCCTCTGCCATACCCCACAGTCAGCCCTGATCCCTCTATCATACCCCACAGTCAGCCCTGATCCCTCCATCATACCCCACAGTCAGCCCTGATCCCTCTGCCATACCCCACAGTCAGCCCTGATCCCTCTATCATACCCCACAGTCAGCCCTGATCCCTCTGTCATACCCCACAGTCAGCCCTGATCCCTCTGTCATACCCCACAGTCAGCCCTGATCCCTCCATCATACCCCACAGTCAGCCCTGATCCCTCTGCCATACCCCACAGTCAGCCCTGATCCCTCCATCATACCCCACAGTCAGCCCTGATCCCTCCATCATACCCCACAGTCAGCCCTGATCCCTCTGTCATACCCCACAGTCAGCCCTGATCCCTCCATCATACCCCACAGTCAGCCAACTGTCACTGGCACACAAAAGCATTTCTACTAAATGATAACCCGTATCAAAAGAATCATAATGAGAAATTCGGAATGTATTTGTATAAAAGCGACAATCGTATTATCATTTTAATAAGAAATGGATTGTCTAAGTAAATAAAGCGACAAAACCCTTTCCGTATCTAAACGAAATCTCTGTATAAAGCAGTCGATTGTACAATTCCGACTATATCATGAACATGTGTTTATGAATCACTATCAAATAGTGATGATGCCAGGTGTTCGCGAAAAGGTGAGCGTATCCTGCCCCGCCGGTGGCATCCGACACAAACACATGTAAAGGCAAGTCAACTATTCACCTGAAAAATCACTGGAACATATATACAAGTCAAAATAGGGTATTGCATCAGACATAATTTTTTTATCACACATGCGTAAAATTTTGAAAAGTTCTCCACATGTCTACCATGAAACGTTTTTTTAAACTTTGCCTTGGATGTTGTAACCTTATACAAAACACTTCTGGGCAGGAGACCGCTCTTTGAAATCTTGATAGAAAGAGCATGCTCGAATGTACCACAAAAGTTGAGAAATGTCATCATCAAAGGCTGGAACTGCAGGAATATTGCTCGACATAATAAAGGGAAGACAGCCAAAGTTTAATTGGCACAACATGTTTTTTGCATGTTTTAGGGAGTACGAGTGGCCCAGTCGTCTAAGGCGCCACGATTCGCTGTGCAGAGTTGCGTCCCTTGGGCACGCCAGAAACCTATGATTGTTGGTTCGAATCCCGGTTCGCCCTGATTATGTTTCTCGGTTTGTCAGCACCACACCCGTGCTCGTTGGTTTCACCGAAGTGTTAAACGTCTGAGACCTGCATCACTTCGGGCTTTCCTCCCACATTAAGCTGACGTGCCGCGATATAACTGGAATACTGTTAAAAGCGGCGTTAAACCCAACTCAGTCACTCACTTACTCGCATGTTCTCATCTTTATATGATGGATCTGTTTTGAACGCAGCAATACTAACTCCCATCTCCAAGTGTTCCTTAACTTTGTTCCAAACATTATATAAGTATACTTCCCGATTATTATCGTTCTAACACCGTTATGATCAATGCCTCAAGATGTCCTAAAAAAATAAACACAAATACTGCTGATTTAAAGTTTATATCTATTAATGCAACACTTACATGTATTTCAATTCTGATAATTTTGCGAGAGAGAGAATTAGTAAGTAAGTGACTTTGGTTTAACTCCGCTTTCAACAGTATTTCAGTTGTATCACGCCGCGTTCGCTTGATGTGGGAGGAAACCCCAAAGTGATGCATCTTGACGCAGAGAGAGATGTACACATTTACTTCACTTGCTCATGCAGTAAAAGAAAGAAAAGATGAGTTCTAAACTGCCTAGGTTACCAAGCTTATCTCATTGACAAACATGGCGGCTTACATGCAGTTTCAAAAAGGAATCTTCGGTTCAAATACAGGCAATCCTGACTTTCAAAGTACTTTATCGAAACTTGAGACACTGTACAAACAAATCATTATCGATTTGATGTTGAAAAACGTTATATTTAGAGCTTTAACGGTCTTTTATGTGATAATAATGACCAAATAACACGTTTAGTGATTATCTACAATCTTGTGCTGTAAGTAATTAAATTCTGTGCCTTCCGTTGTTTTACCTCGTTGTCGCTCAGATCAAGTTTCTTAACCTCGTTGTAGCCCAACTCCCGTTTCTTTGCCTCGTTTTCGTTCATCTCTTTTGCGTGCACCTCTCGGTTATTCAACTCCCCAGCAGTGGACGCGCCCAGTGCAACAGTATCCACGATATTCTCGTTGTCATGAAAATTCTTGAGAAAATCATACTTCATGGGTATAATATTTCTGGTGAAGATAGTCTTGGCAAGAAACGACACAGTGACAATTGTAAAGAACGTAAGGAGCATGATCAATGTCCTGAACGGGAAGAGTTGTCCGTCCTTGTCAGTGTAGAATGGATAGTTGATCAGCGCAGGCAGGCCAATGAGAGGTTCACCACTGATCATACGCAGAAGAATGGACAGGAAAAAGCCAGAGAGACAACCGTAGGCGTTGGAAACGTTTACAAAGAGGACGCAAGTGAGTTGGGGAAAGAGGATGACGTACATGAGGTCCCCAGACATGACGTAGAGGCCGTAGACGGTGGTGGAGGTGATGGCGATTACGGTTCCAGCAGCCCCAACTACCAACACACTGATCCGTACCACCCAGATCAGCTCGCGGTCAGACACCTACAGCAAGTACGCAAAGGCTGATAGAATGTAACAATATATGTTAATGATTATTTTATTTAACATAGTTCAGTGTAAACTTGCTATAAACAGAAAAAGGAGATTGACATTTCAGAAAGAATCTACTGCTACCCCAGAATAAAACATACCGTATTCGACGTAATAAGCGCCAAGGGCGCTCTCAAAATTAGAAATAGGGGGCTCTTATGAGAATATTATTTTGGTGAAAAAAACAGAGTTAAAGGATAAATTTCGTGGTTTATGCTGACAGCCTGAAATGTTTATATACGACAGATATATTTTTCCAGAATTTAATTGCCCATAATTAAGGGTACATATAACACACGAGTGCGTATTATACGCCAATAAATATGTTTTGTGTACATTGAATAATCGGAAGGGGTGCTAATTGGGATTGTTTACTAGCCAATATGTTAGCAAATATCGCCGTGGGCGCTTATTAGAGCGGGGCGCTTGGGTATTAATACGGTATTCGTTATACAAATAGTATTGACATGCAGTAGGGGTCGTAGGTTACGGTTAATTCAGATTTACTATAACACAATGTAGGTAGAATACTGATAAGAAAGATGCGCTACAAGCAAAAATACGTTGCTACAACAGAGTAGGACAGAATCCCCATACAGCAAGCATAAGGTTTTGGGGCAGTAGAACAGATTCACCATACAACAAGCATTACGTATTACGGTAGGGTAGAATTGGGCAGATTCACCGTTTAATAAGTACTGTATCTAGCTTTATTATGCCTCAAAATGAGAGAGACCAATCAGAGAGCAGAACTACTGACCCCATATGATGAGCCCGTATACCGTCAGTAAAAATCCAAGATGGTTGTTACTGACCTAACATGAGACCGTATACCGTCAGTAACAGCCATCTTGGATTTTCAAACACCCACTTCACATATTTAACATGAACATTCTGGTACAAACATTCGTTATTCGACACTGTTTTGTGTTTTAATATCATTAATTGTGATTTTCGAGGTTGGCATCTGGGGTTTGAAGAGTATTCTCCCTTTGACCCTAACCGTCAGCGTACTAAAGTTAGAAGAATAGAACGACATGGATACGACAAAGTGTAAACTTGTCGGCATTATTAATTCGTTATGGTGTCTTTAGATGACGTAAACGGTGTCAAATTAGGTTAGCAGAAAAATATTGGCCGCTCAACTATAGACACCATGCCTAATAATGGTGCGCGGTAGTGTGCACAGAATCACTATACAGCAAGCATCTAGTGCGCGATAGGGTGCACAGAATCACTATACAGCAAGCATCTAGTGTGAGGTAGGTGCACAGAATCACTATACAGCAAGCATCTAGTGTGAAGTAGTGTGCACAGAATCACTATACAGCAAGCATCTAGTGCGCGGTAGGGTGCACAGAATCACTATACAGCAAACATCTAGTGCGCGGTAGGGTGCACAGAATCACTATACAGTAAGCATCTAGTGTGCGGTAGGGTGCACAGAATCACTATACAGCAAGCATCTAGTGCGCGGTAGGGTGCACAGAATCACTATACAGCAAGCATCTAGTGCGCGGTAGGGTGCACAGAATCACTATACAGTAAGCATCTAGTGTGCTGTAGGGTGCACAGAATCACTATACAGCAAGCATCTAGTGTGCGGTAGGGTGCACAGAATCACTATGCAGCAAACATCTCGTGCGCGGTAGGGTGCACAGAATCACTATACAGCAAGCATCTAGTGCGCGGTAGGGTGCACAGAATCACTATACAGCAAGCATCTAGTGTGCTGTAGGGTGCACAGAATCACTATACAGTAAGCATCTAGTGTGCTGTAGGGCGCACAGAATCACTATGCAGCAAACATCTAGTGTGCTGTAGGGTGCACAGAATCACTATACAGCAAGCATCTAGTGTGCTGTAGGGTGCACAGAATCACTATACAGCAAGCATCTAGTGTGCTGTAGGGTGCACAGAATCACTATACAGCAAACATCTAGTGTGCTGTAGGGCGCACAGAATCACTATACAGCAAACATCTAGTGTGCTGTAGGGTGCACAGAATCACTATGCAGCAAACATCTAGTGTGCTGTAGGGTGCACAGAATCACTATGCAGCAAGCATCTAGTGTGCTGTAGGGTGCACAGAATCACTATACAGTAAGCATCTAGTGTGCTGTAGGGTGCACAGAATCACTATACAGCAAGCATCTAGTGTGCTGTAAGGTGCACAGAATCACTATACAGCAAGCATCTAGTGCGCGGTAGGGTGCACAGAATCACTATACAGCAAGCATCTAGTGTGCTGTAGGGTTACACAGAATCACTATACAGAAAGCATCTAGTGTGCTGTAGGGTGCACAGAATCACTATGCAGCAAGCATCTAGTGTGCTGTAGGGTGCACAGAATCACTATACAGTAAGCATCTAGTGCGCGGTAGGGTGCACAGAATCACTATACAGCAAACATCTAGTGTGCTGTAGGGTTACACAGAATCACTATACAGCAAACATCTAGTGTGCTGTAGGGCGCACAGAATCACTATACAGCAAACATCTAGTGTGCTGTAGGGTGCACAGAATCACTATGCGGCAAACATCTAGTGTGCTGTAGGGTGCACAGAATCACTATGCAGCAAGCATCTAGTGTGCTGTAGGGTGTACAGAATCACTATACAGTAAGCATCTAGTGTGCTGTAGGGCGCACAGAATCACTATACAGCAAGCATCTAGTGTGCTGTAAGGTGCACAGAATCACTATACAGCAAGCATCTAGTGCGCGGTAGGGTGCACAGAATCACTATACAGCAAGCATCTAGTGTGCTGTAGGGTTACACAGAATCACTATACAGCAAGCATCTAGTGTGCTGTAGGGTGCACAGAATCACTATGCAGCAAGCATCTAGTGTGCTGTAGGGTGCACAGAATCACTATACAGTAAGCATCTAGTGCGCGGTAGGGTGCACAGAATCACTATGCAGCAAACATCTAGTGTGCTGTAGGGTGCACAGAATCACTATGCAGCAAACATCTAGTGTGCTGTAGGGTGCACAGAATCACTATGCAGCAAGCATCTAGTGTGCGGTAGGGTTACACAGAATCACTATACAGTAAGCATCTAGTGCGCGGTAGGGTGCACAGAATCACTATGCAGCAAACATCTAGTGTGCTGTAGGGTGTACAGAATCACTATACAGCAAGCATCTAGTGTGCTGTAAGGTGCACAGAATCACTATACAGCAAGCATCTAGTGCGCGGTAGGGTGCACAGAATCACTATGCAGCAAACATCTAGTGTGCTGTAGGGTGCACAGAATCACTATGCAGCAAACATCTAGTGTGCGGTAGGGTTACACAGAATCACTATACAGCAAGCATCTAGTGTTCGGTAGGGTGCACAGAATCACTATGCAGCAAACATCTCGTGTGCTGTAGGGTGCACAGAATCACTATACAGCAAGCATCTAGTGTGCTGTAGGGTGCACAGAATCATTATACAGCAAGCATCTAGTGCGCGGTAGGGTGCACAGAATTACTATACAGCAAGCATCTAGTGTGCTGTAGGGTTACACAGAATCACTATACAGCAAGCATCTAGTGTGCTGTAGGGTGCACAGAATCACTATGCAGCAAACATCTAGTGTGCTGTAGGGTGCACAGAATCACTATACAGTAAGCATCTAGTGTGCTGTAGGGTGCACAGAATCACTATGCAGCAAGCATCTAGTGTGCGGTAGGGTGCACAGAATCACTATACAGCAAGCATCTAGTGTGCTGTAGGGTGCACAGAATCACTATGCAGCAAACATCTAGTGTGCTGTAGGGTGCACAGAATCACTATGCAGCAAACATCTAGTGTGCTGTAGGGTTACACAGAATCACTATACAGCAAGCATCTAGTGCTCGGTAGGGTGCACAGAATCACTATGCAGCAAACATCTAGTGTGCTGTAGGGTGCACAGAATCACTATCCAGCAAGCATCTAGTGTGCTGTAGGGTGCACAGAATCATTATACAGCAAGCATCTAGTGCGCGGTAGGGTGCACAGAATCACTATACAGCAAGCATCTAGTGTGCTGTAGGGTTACACAGAATCACTATACAGCAAGCATCTAGTGTGCTGTAGGGTGCACAGAATCACTATGCAGCAAACATCTAGTGTGCTGTAGGGTGCACAGAATCACTATACAGTAAGCATCTAGTGTGCTGTAGGGTGCACAGAATCACTATACAGCAAGCATCTAGTGTGCGGTAGGGTGCACAGAATCACTATACAGCAAGCATCTAGTGTGCTGTAGGGTTACACAGAATCACTATACAGTAGGTAACCAGTAGCGGTAGAGCGACACAGAGTCACGATACTACACTGTGCAACTGGTTGGCTTCACAATTCAACTTTATTCACTCGAGATTTACCTTGGTCCTGAAAACACCTCGGTACCAGTTGTTGGCGAAAATGGAAGCAGTGGAGAGAGTGGTGGAGTCAGCAGATGACATGGCAGCAGCAGAGATGGCAGCGAGACCGATGACTGAGACGGGGAGTGGACACATGTACTGGAGGACCAGGGGTAGAATAAATGGCAGCTGATCAGAGGCCAGAGGAACCTCATTCGGGTACGAGGTTTGATTCCAATCTGCAAATGATACAATAATAATGTACCGATTTATTCAATTATGCCTTGTAACCAGTTTTAAGCTATTGATATTTTGTTAACTTTTAAGGGGAACGGATCGATCAGTCGCCTCAATGCGCTGTGCAGAGTTGCGTCTCTCATTGTTCGCCTTATTGTGGTGTTTGGTTTCGTTGATTTGATCAAAGTGGAAAATTTCTACGACTTGCATCCAACTTTAAACCCAATTCAAGTCACTCTCTTTTCGGGTTGGATTTTATATCACGTGCTCTGATTGAATAGATATTGGGCATATACGCGACTGTGGAATATTTTCGAGTTAAAACTAAGTCGTATGAAAAACCTTTGACCTGACAAATTCCATTACTTTCAATATTACCTGCAGATGCGCCAATTACTCCCATGACGGCTGGTGGTACGGCAAACAACAGACAGAGTACAGAAGCCAGCATTAGAGATATACGGGCGCTTCTCGGAGTCTTGCATGCGAGCACACGTTGATAGAATGGCTGCAGAAAAAAAGATAACTATATACAAGCAATGCTTCCTACTTGTACACACAGGTGTTGATTCAGATACACATGAGATATGTAGAGATTGTCCAGTCCTAATGATAACCGTTTGTACAGCGGACATTTTCTGATATACTTTATCTGCATCGCACTCTTTCCAATTTGACACTATTTGTTATTTTTAAGGATCGTTTCGTCTCTTTCGTGAATTGGAATCGTTGCTTTGAGCTACTCTGAAATCAACCGTACACTATAGCAGCGGTCTTCTGTGTTTCCACTACTATAGGTACGGAATTTTTATGGAGACTGGATATTTCCTCAGCTAAAGCTGCAAAACTAGTTTTTGAAAAGTTAACGAGCTTGAAAAAATGTTTCAAAGCATCTTCACATCTATTTTATTGAGGCATACATTTTTGTAACACAGTATGAAGTGTTATATGGCAGTGTATTTTATTGTTTAACAATGATTGTAACTGTTGGCCTTGAGATTCGGTAGACAATGTGTTTGGACGTCAGGAGTGTGGTACTAATTCATGTAAGCAGACGCCAGGATGTAACTATATTTAGACTCTAGTGTGGTGTGTAAACTTCCTGCCCGGTATACCGCGAATGGTGATATATAGTCTGTTATAGAAACACGTGGATTATTCTTTGTTGTGAGGGCACTGTGTAGACAGTTCCAGCAGCTATGTAGGTAGGTTGTATATAAGGAGACAAGAGCGCGTTTACGCATCTCTCACCCATTTCATCACACCGGAATCAGGTATCATGTGAGGTACACTCATCATCCCTGATTTCCCCAATGTTGACCACTGTTGCCGCTGGGTGAATATATATTATTATCACTGACTGTTGCGGTCACCACTGTATTTCTGTATCTGATACTGACCACTGTCATCATACTATATAGTGCCACTGAACATTGTCTCCCACTCTATTGTGTACAGCCATTGTAATTGCTGTGCAGTAATTTGTATTGAGTTGCAAACTTTGTTAATTTTGAAGTACATTTGTTGATTGTATTCCACTTGTTGGTTGTTTGTTGGTTTCACACTAAGTTCTTTAACGCACTGATTTCCGGGTTAACATACTGCTTGAGTTTAGGAATCAACGCGTAACAGAAGTATAATATTGATTTGTTCAAGCAATAAGAAGAAAATGATCTTTTTTAGGATAAAATCCTAGCCTCCCCCCCCCCCCCCCCCCCCCCCTCTAAAACACATAGGTAAAATGTCGTAAAGGCAGGCGAGATTATGTTCATGAAGGTATCTATTTAGGGATCGACCATTTGATATTAGTACAAATCAATGTGCTTAACGTGTAAGTAAACACCCTCTCTCTACACCGGTCTCTGTGTCCTGGTTAGTTTACCTGCCAAGGTATCCCTCCAAAAATAAGTAGACCGTAGATGTCTATGAATGTCCCGATCTCGTTTGTCGGTAGAGTGCCGGGCCACAGTGTTTTCATCTTCTCCTTGTCCACTGACGGGTGGTGGAGAGCGAACGGGAAGGACACAACCTAAAATTGATAGTATGACATCTTTTAGGGACATTGTGAAGTGTAGCTCATTAGTCTCATGGCGAAAGAAGGCGCCTATATGAATCAACACTCGCTCGCGTGGTCCATACCAATGACGTCCAGTTCACTCTTCCTTCAGTAATGAAGCCTAGAATGTCAGGCTGACCTCAATGGCAGAGAAATGTGGTGAAACAATGAAAGCTGTCTTGTAAGTTAGTTATCTCAAAAGATACAGACCCTTGTTATATCTAAGCATACAGGTTCTAGGTATCTCTCAAGATACATATCCTAGTGATCTCTGATGATACAGATCCTAGCTATCTCTGTACGATGCAGGCCACTGTTATCTCTAAAGACACAGATCCTATTTACCTCTGAAGATGCATTCTCTTGCTATCTCTCAAGATACAGATCCTATTGATCTCTGATGATACAGATCCTAGCTATCTCTGTACGATGCAGGCCACTGTTATCTCTAAAGGCACAGATCCTATTTACTTCTGAAGGTGCATACTCTTGGTATCTCTAAAGATACAGATCCTAGTTATCTCTAAACATGCAGGTTCTAGTTATCTCTCAAGATACATATAAACTCAACAACAAAAGTTCCTGTGACACCAATATTTTAGTGAAGTAAAGTTTGGTTTTCAATATTGTAGTACATGTATGGAATCAAGTCACAAAAACGCAACTGCTACAGAAGAGCATGCATTCCATGCAAAAGTTGACTTTTATGCAAGCCCCGTGCATTTCACTACCAAAAAATGGGTATAAAAAAATGTGCGTTAACGGACTTCATATGCATTGTTTAGCATCGTACTGACAACAACCACTCAGAAAAATAACAAAATTACGCAATTATTCAACATTACGAAATGCCACGCCTGTCCGAAAATGAGCGTTTGCGAGCCATTGGTATGCTTGAGCAGGATCGAGTCAACGTGATGTTGCAAGTCAATTTAACGTCCACAGAAACACCATTTGGTATTTATGGCAACGTTGGCAACAGACAAATACAGTCAGAGACCATCCTCGGAGTGGCAGGCCACGCGTAACCAATAATCGACAAGACAACTGGATTCGAACAACACACCTACGAAATCGATTCCAGCCAGCAACAGTGACTGCAAGAAGCATCCCTGGCCTTCGACGAATATCTTCACAAACCGTACGTCGCCGCCTCAGATGTGCAGGGATTGTCGCCAGAAGACCCGCCATACGTCCCATTTTGACAGGAAACCACCATCAAGCACGTCTACAGTGGAGCAGACAGCGTCTACCGGCGGCAGCGTTATGGTATTGGGTGGGATAACAGCAAGACAGAGGACCCGCTTGATAGTGGTAGAGGGAAATCTCAATGGACAGCGCTACCGCGACGAGATCGTCGGCCCTTTTGTTCTACCGTTTTTGCATCGTCATGGTCCTTTCCATGAGACGAAGATGTGTTGCTTGCATCGCAACCAGAGGTGGACACACACGCTATTAATTTGTAAATTGACATTTTGGCATGTTCATGTTTTTTTTTATGAAATCACGCATTTTCTGAAGTCAGTATGACAAATCAAACCATTTGAACACTTACATGAGTCTTTTATCTGTTGCAAACCGAAATTGTTTCAGATTTGGTAAAAAACATAACTTTGCATTATATCTTATTCAATGTCACAGGAACTTTTGTTGTTCAGTATACTAGTGATCTCTAAAGATACAGATCCTAGCTATCTCTGTACGATGCAGGCCACTGTTATCTCTAAAGATACAGATCCTATTTACCTCTGAAGATGCATACCCTTGGTATCCCTAAAGATACATACAAACTAGTTATCTCTAAAGATACATACAAACAAGTTATCTCTAAACATGCAGGTCCTAGTTATCTCTGAAGACGCATACCCTTGTTATCTCTAATGATACATATCCTAGTTATCTTTAAACATGCAGGTTCTTGTTATCTCTCAAGATACATATACTAGTGATCTCTAAAGATACATGCACAGATCCTATTTACCTCTGAAGATGCATACCCTTGGTATCTCTAAAGACACATACAAACTAGTTATCTCTTAACATGCAGGTCCTAGTTATCTCTAAAAACACATACAAACTAGTTATCTCTAAAGATAAACACAAACTAGTTATCTCTAAACATGCAGGTCCTAGTTATCTCTGAAGATGCATACCCTTGTTATGTCTCATGATACGTATCCTAGTTATCTCTGAACATGCAGTGCCGAGTTATATCTTAAGGTGCAGGTCAAAGTTATATTTACAGATGCATATCTCTGAAGATGCAGGTTCAAGTTATATCTAAAAAGATGTAGTTCCTGGTTATATCTAAAGATGCAGGTCCTAGTTGTATCTAAAGATGCAGGTCCTAGGGGTTTACCGCCTTTGCCAATCACACGAGCACTGACATACCACTGACAAACCAAGGGTCATTTATGGTAGAATATTGGATGTCTATGTCATACTTACCAGCCCTACAGCAATAAAGAATAGTTGCACGAGATCTGTGTAGGCCACAGACCAAAGGCCACCAAGCAAAGTATAGCACACAGCAATGGCGGCCGATACGATAATGGATGTAGTTTTGTCGACGTCGAGGATGATGGCGACGGTTGATCCTTTAAAATGGCAACCATGTATGTGAAACATGTCAACTCTCCGTAACACTGAATCCTCTAGTCAAAATAAACAGTTTTGTATAAAACGACTACCAAAATTGCAAATCGTTTACTTTGTATTCATTTGGCTTTGTATGTTAAATTGTGATCACCAAACGCAACACTTCATTTCGAAAAAGCAGTACTGTGCTTTGTTTGGTCGTTGGTTGTTTAACGACGCAAATATTGAAGACACCTTGGTGCCTGTAACTACTAGAGTCTGGACTAGACAAACCAGTGATTGATAGTATGACCAACATCCCACGTCGTATGGGCACGGATAGGATACCGAGTCTCACAAATGTACATATTAATCGCCTCTTACGACCAGCGTATGTTTCTTGGGTGCTGTTCTAACCCTACTGCAGTGCAATAATGAGGAAACAGTTGTTCTACCGAGTGCTGACAAGATGGCGGCTGTCCAGAAGAGGTCTCCTACAAACTCTGGCAAGCACATCAGCGCCCCCACCCTCGCACCGTACTTCTTCTGAAACGGGTCGTACATTGTCACGTAGTTGGCCCGACGCATCTTTGGACCGTAGAACCAGCCGCCTGGATATATAAAAACGCTTAACTCAAACAGTTGGTTATTGGACGCATTAAGCCACCAATGTTTTTTTGTTTGTTGTTTAACGCCGCATTCAGCACTATTCCAGCTATATGACGGCGGTTTGTATACAATCGAATTTGGACCAGACAATCCAGTGATTGTCATCATAGGCATCGCAACTGAGATACGATGACAAACTTCAACCAAGTCAGCTACTCTGACCACCCAATCCCGTTAGAAGCCTCTTACGACAAGCATGCGTTGTTGAAGACAATTCTAACCCGGAGCCGATGTATTATTTCGCCATCCAAGTCAATACCCTAGAACCATTCCCATTGCTCCGTTCAAGTGCGATTCGAACGCTAAATATAACCGTCCAATAAAATAAAACGACATTGGAGAGACATTTGGTGTGGTGTTTCTGACAGGAGAGATGGATATATCAGGTGACTTCCAAAAGGCTTTGGAACAGAATGGATGAAGGGTATTTACTGAAGTAGAATGGACATATTTATGACAAACTGGATAACTGATGAGGATCAATGTTTACATGAAGCCTCATGGTTCGATTTACTCTTGTGATAATGGGTGAAGAAGTGAATATCAAGCAACGCCTCAGTCGCCAATATTTAATCTAAACCCTTTCTGTGTGTAAATTATCAGACAGATTTTCAGGTTTGTGCCAGACAAATCTGTTGTTGATAGTATGGGGAGAGACCAAATGTTGTCGGGGACGATGACTTGCAACCAACAAAGTCACCGAACCTCATCACCCGAGCCAGGTGATCGCCTCTCACAACAAGCAGTAGAGTGTTGGCCATGGGGACTTATTCCTACCCGGCAAGGTCCTGAGGTGACGCTTCAGTAAGAGAGCGTAACTCTTGCTGTAAGAAGTGCGTAACATTTACCATAAGGATGTTGTATTCTTGCCATAAGGGACTCTGTGGTCTAGGGGATAAAGCGCCAGCCATGAGGACGGAAGGTCGGTTGTTCGATCCCCAGGCATGACACGACAAAAGACGTTAAAATGTGGTATTTGTTGTTTCCCTGCCTGGCGCTCTGCATAAAGGGTATGAAACAAGTACTGGTCGGCTTGGAGTCAGTGTGTGTCTGAGTTGAGAGTATCTATGTTAAATTGCTGCACGAAATGTCAGTGAACCAGCATCAAGAACCGGCATTAGTCCGGACTAGTACAATCAGCCACACACATACAAGTGCATACACGTCGGAATATGATGCAATAATCTTGAACGCGACGTCATCTTGAAGAAGTGGGTATTCTTTGCCATTATGAGTGCGTAACTATTGCCATAAGGAATGCGTAACTATTGCCATAAGAAATGCGTACCTTCATATACGCAGATGTTGATACATGTAAATACAAAAAACGAACACATAATCTGTTCTGTTCAATATTGTTGTCAGGGTGCGACTTTAAACGAAATACGCTTCTTGAACTACTACCATATATTGGGCGTTATAAGGCATCAGCTCTGTGAATGTCTTGGTTAATACATGGCATGATTAAGAAATTTCTTAATAACGTAAGTGCAAATAACTTACCTATGAAGAGTCCAATACAATAGCCTATTGGAGCCTGTGTCCAGAGAAGACCTCTTGATGCGATTATTTCTGCCGTGCCGTTAACATATGCTCCGCCAACATTCGTTGCTAGGTGTGAAGAATAGACATAGCTTGACATTATTTCTTAATGCAAGAAATATGTAAAAGATATATATATAATGATAACATAATTATAAGTACTGTTGTTTATTCCAACCATTTGCTTACTTGTTTGTTGTTTAACGCCACATTTATACCTGGAATTTTACCAGGAAAAAACAAATTGAATCAATCGTCTATAAACCTTTCACGTCACACGCGGCTTCGAGATGGGTTATGCTGAACGCACAGGCAGTGATGAACTTAAATAACTACTGGTTTTTATTTCTTTTTTGGGTATTTATCATTTTCTTTTTCATTTACTTTAGAAGAAAAACATTATCTTATTACAAGTAAAGTTTATACTGAATTTGTTTTACGATTGCTTTTAAAAACATTTAATTTGATTTAATTAACATTCCCAGACAAGGATAGGTTTCCCAAAATGTCCCACAATATTTCAAATTTCAGGAACCCCAAAAAATTTCCTTTTCCCTTTCGAACACACTTTCATCCAGGTTGTCCAATTATAGGAACGTGTTGCAGAGCTCATGATGTTAATTCCTCTACTAGTGGGTGTCAAGGATCATCATACTGCTGTCAACCTGCAGGTCATATAATCACAGGTGACTTCCCTATTGTTGACAATAACAATCTTCGTCAGTTATTCAAATATTGACCAAAATACCGCCAGCAACATCCTACCAATTGGGATCACAGCTCATTATGGATGCTCATTATGGATGCTGTCGAAGACTTATCCAAAACAATGCCTGATGTTGTCATTCGTAGAATGCTAAAACTTAAAAAGAGGACACGGAATTGGAATTAACCCATTCTGTCCCAGCTAGCTGATTTCTTCCTCAGTTAACATACTGGCCTTATATGTAGCATTATTTGATATATCATTTATACATTTATGGTAGACATTTTGGGGACATTTCCAAATTTGGCGCATCAGTGACAAAAATGATGTTTGATGCAATTCCCTATTTTGACTTGAACCATTTGTTCCCATGTTTTTTAAGGTGAACAATTGACTTGCCTTTGCATGTGTTGGTGACGTGTGTCACCGGTTGGGCAGGATACGCTCACCTTTTCGCGAACACCTGGTATCATTACTATTTGATAGCGATTCATAAACACATGCTCATTACATAGTCGGAATTGTACAATCGACTCTGTTTTAAACAGAGATTTCGCTTGGATACGGAAAGGGTTTTGTCGCTTTATTTACTTATTTTGTAACTGTGATATGATTGTCATAATTCTACCGATGCTGATGATCGATGTGAGCTGGACACTACTTCAATAAAGGGTGAGTTATACGTTAACACGATCATTTATTGTAGGTCTCGCACAGATAAATCACAATTAACTGTTATTAAAACAATGGACAACGTTATTCTATTGTTTAAGTGATCCAAAATCTGTCCCGAATCGACAGTTGGTTGTTAGTTATTTATGCCAAAATTAGGTTGAACCCAAATTTCTATTAATGTACAGTTTGTACTGTCAATGTTTTAAGACAATACATATGATCCAACTGCCTCACGACCACACAACACTCCACACAGTAGTGAACTAATTTATTCGACAATACGGACTACAGGACTACATAGCCTTACTTAATACGGACAACATTCAATACCGATGCTTTTTCCCATACACCACTTTGAGGGTATACATATACCAAACCCCATTGTCAATTTATAACACTTGGAATTATCTTTGCACGTCCATGAAAGTGTTTAACTGTCATACAAGAAGATAAAACAATGTCAATGGAAAGGAGAATCGGACATCCCGACGTCATAACCTGAATGAATTATGTGACATATATATAAATCACAGAATTGAAAAACAAACAGAAGGCATTCCCATGGACGCCAATTGTGCTCTTAACATGTTTCTATCTGCTTCTATACAGAAATATCGGAATTTATGCTCGGATTGGTCGATATCCGCCAACAGTGGTCCAGTGGCCAATTCCCTTTGACTGATTACACCCTTGAATTTGATATAAAGCAAAGCTACGCGATAAATCGCAAAGAACAATGAAAAACGAAGCGTCTATTTCACGATAAAACATTGTTCTATCATGACGTCATTTCTGGAGATTAGAACATGCGCTCGCAACTTGGTGACGTCGTATTGGACGACGTTATTTTTGAAAGGGTACTGCTGATACGTTATTCCCCATAGATCTTAGAAAATCGTTTAATGGGCATTGGAATAAAACCTGTTTTTCGACCTTAAAAATTAATATATCTGCCTGTTTCGATTCTTAAATATAATGCCACGTCTACATTTTGCAGAACGGTAACTCCGAGGTCTATAGCTGACACAGTCTATAGCGAAATATTTCAATATCGCTATAAAATCGTCGAGTTAAGTTAAAATGTGTTAGATTTTGTGTCATGATACTTGAAAGATATACATATATGTATTAAAATGTGTTAAATTTTGTGTCAAGATATACATATATGTATTTGCGAAACAAAAACATGAGTTTTGAGTAAAGGAAAGTAAAGGCCATAGTGTAAATATTGAGTTTTTGAACAATCTTTTTTTCATTTGTTCTTCCTTGGTATGTTCCCATGAAAACAGCATGTTTAATTTTGTAAATACCTTTGACCGAGACTGGGCAAAGACCGTAGAGTTTCTGGGTTTCCAGAATTAAAATGGGACGTGTTATACCGTTTAGTGGTTTAGTGGTTTAGTGGTTTCAATGTCAAATATTACGTCATATTCTACCTCCAAATTCGCTACTTTATCAAACGGGATACGTGGACAGTGACCTATGCAGCTATCGCTCAGATAATAAAAAACGATTTTAAACCTATTTTGGGAATGTCAAAAGGTACACTCGGGAAAACCTTACAAGACAATAATCACTGAAATACTCATATTTCAACACAAAATCAATAATACTTACAAACATAATATTTTGCAAATGTAAATAATGATATGGGATATTTCAACCGGCACAGATCAGGCTGTCGTTTACTCGTATCTTAAAGCACAATAACTTTTTGTGTAATATGCGTAACTGAAAAATGAAACTGCAATATCAATAAGAAAAATGAAAAAGTCATTATGTAGATATATAGAGATATGTTTTGTCTTGTCGACTGAATATGAACGCTTCACGTGTTTAAAAAAGCCACTGGCTGATGATGACAGATGGCTATTTATCGCCTCACTCGGGATTTATCCAGCTGTATGACACGAAGATGTTTTTTTCTCATATAGCGACAGCAGGTTTTGGCAGTGAAAAATACCTAATGTTTAAAAACACACACACAGTTTCTCATTGTTTGACAGGTTTCAAAAGTTTGAAATTTCAACCGTTGTACTCGCACACATTCACCCACCCACCCACCGACTATTTCATTCTCTAGTGATGATCTAATGACACTCTCATATCCTGTGACTAGGTGTACGTTATCTCTTATATGTTCGCTACCTTATTCTTGTATTGAAAATGTTTTTGTAATTATAATTTGCAAACATGAGGGGATATTTCTCATGTGTTTGTGATCATTTTAGCTTCATCAATAATTGTGCATGGCTGGTTGTAAATCTTTGATCCCGTTGGATAGCTTATGTTCAGCGCTTATTTTGATACATACATCTTCAGTATAGATATAGTACTTAGTTTGCTATTAGTGTTTTCCACGTGTGTAGAAACACACGTTGGTTAGACGTCCCAGTCAGTTGTATTCCCAAGCGGTCCAAGAGAGATTGTCTTCTCCGCTGTTCCGCTCGCTTTATATTTCAAATCTGTCTAAATTTTGTTTCTTGACCCTCCAGGTTCCGTTAACACGTTCACGATTGTCTCACTACTGGAGTGGTCAGGTTCCTTCAGGAAGTGGTTTTCAGGACATGGTTCGATCTAGATTCTGGTGAAATCCGTGGATAACCAACCTACCCGTGATTGTCTAGGCACTTAGTGACTAGTATTTGCAATACTCTGTATTTCTAGTAATCCGTGGATAACCAACCCTCCCGTGATAGTCTAGGCACTTAGTGACTAGTATTTGCAATACTCTGTATTTCTAGTAATCCGTGGATAACCAACCTACCCGTGATTGTCTAGGCACTTAGTGACTAGTATTTGCAATACTCTGTATTTCTAGTAATCCGTGGATAACCAACCCTCCCGTGATGGTCTAGGCACTTAGTGACTAGTATTTGCAATACTCTGTATTTCTAGTAATCCGTGGATAACCAACCCTCCCGTGATAGTCTAGGCACTTAGTGACTAGTATTTGCAATACTCTGTATTTCTAGTAATCCGTGGATAACCAACCTACCCGTGATTGTCTAGGCACTTAGTGACTAGTATTTGCAATACTCTGTATTTCTAGTAATCCGTGGATAACCAACCCTCCCGTGATAGTCTAGGCACTTAGTGACTAGTATTTGCAATACTCTGTATTTCTAGTAATCCGTGGATAACCAACCTACCCGTGATTGTCTAGGCACTTAGTGACTAGTATTTGCAATACTCTGTATTTCTAGTAATCCGTGGATAACCAACCTACCCGTGATTGTCTAGGCACTTAGTGACTAGTATTTGCAATACTCTGTATTTCTAGTAATCCGTGGATAACCAACCTACCCGTGATTGTCTAGGCACTTAGTGACTAGTATTTGCAATACTCTGTATTTCTAGTAATCCGTGGATAACCAACCTACCCGTGATTGTCTAGGCACTTAGTGACTAGTATTTGCAATACTCTGTATTTCTAGTAATCCGTGGATAACCAACCTACCCGTGATTGTCTAGGCACTTAGTGACTAGTATTTGCAATACTCTGTATTTCTAGTAATCCGTGGATAACCAACCCTCCCGTGATGGTCTAGGCACTTAGTGACTACTATTTGCAATACTCTGTATTTCTAGTAATCCGTGGATAACCAACCTACCCGTGATTGTCTAGCATTGTGGAAATTTTAGTATTTGTTTGTGCAGTCAAAGTGACTGAAACTTGGGTCGATTA